CCTCGTCCTTTATGGTCACTCCTGGATGGGAACTGCTGAGTCACAGCCTGAACTGCTGATAGAGCACCTGGAGAAAAAACCTGGTCAGCCCTGGGAGCACAGGTGAAGATAATTCAACTGTGAGACTGGAAAGGGTAGAGCCTGGCTGCACCTCTTTTCAACTTCATTTAAAGGCTGACTGCCACTATGGAAAAGACCTCTTTCTGTGTTGTTTTCTCTGTGAACCTAGATCCTTGGAGAAAGGTGAGCAATCCTTTCCCTTTATTTCTAATATCTACCCATTGTGCTGGTCTCTCTGTCATTACACCTCTCTAGTCAGAAGGGTTGTTTCATTTGTGTTGTTTGGTTTTGTATTCCAACTATTCTGTTCCTCCTGCTCTCAAAGCAGTTCACTGCATTTCTTAACGCGCTCATCTGAGAAATTTTCTTTGCGATTAAGTACTTAAATGTACTTTAATTTAAGGTTTGAACCCTCTACAGAGATAGGTATCGATATAATTATACCACAGGAAAGCAAAATATGGTTCAGTTACCTTTCTTTGTCTTGTAAGGCCCTCCGTTGGGTTGTATTTCTTGCAGTGGGATGGATATTACCTTGGCTAGGCCAGCATTCATCATATATTGATAGAGACGTTTGAAAGTTCTCTCACAGAGACCCTAATGCAAAAAGAAATGATAAAAAGCAATGCAGGACAGAACTCTGAATTTCAGGAATTCCACAGAAATACCTGTTGATCTTCACAATGAAAACAAAACAAGAACAAATCATAGAATCATAGAATCATCAAGGTTGGAAAAGACCTAAAAGATCACCCAGTCCAACCGTTCACCTATTCCCAATAGCTCCTACTAAACCAACAAGACTAAGGATTTCTCTAATTTTATAGCCTTTGCCATCACCAGCATCTATACTCTTGGTGAATAGTATCAAAGACATTCATCATATTGTCCGTTTTGAAACAATACTTCGTGTTAGGATAGCAAGAAAGGGTATTAAAAGCCTATTAGTGTGTATGCGAGGCAGAGCTTGAGAGGATTCTGCACTCTGCTCAGTCCTTCCTGCCTTATGCTCAAGCAGAAGCAATCAACTCTAAAGAACTGCACAACTACATTCACTGACTGTATATACAGTCTCTTACTGTGGCAAAACTTTTCTGATGTTGCTGACAGAATAGAAATTCTTCCTTACAGCAGGCAATGACAGAAACTTAATTTAGAGCAACACAGTAGCAATAAAGAGATTTTTAATTCAATGAAATCTAAGATCCTACTTTTTGGTATCTTACCACAAAATACTATGCAATTTCAAAACAGACTGCCTTTGATACGAGTCACCTATGTTCTATGTGAGACAGAATTAGAAAAAGAATAATGAAATCTCACCAATTCTTCCCTCAGGTTTCCTAATGTTTCTATCTGGTTTGGACGAGCACTTAGCATGCTGGAGAGCTTCTCCATCAGAATATCGTATTTACTCCTCCTAACCAAGAACAGAAAATAGACATGTTACATACAACATTATAAACAGAAGTTACAACATTCTGAAGTGTTAGCTATTAGAGAGGGTACACTGAAGTGTTCTTCACTTATTTTTAAGTGAGAACACTTAAAATTAACAGGTGGATTAGAGCTATAATGAGAGAAAGGCAAGTGACAGGCACCAAGAATACCATTTTTCACAGTTCAAAGGGAAGTCCAGCATCTTCAAGAGGAGTTAATAAAGAAAATGGGAATAGTTGATAGTGGGGAACTGTGGTGATTTGATGACCACAGCACAAACATTCACTGTACCCAGGATGTGCTTTCAACCTGTCAGTGGCACATACCTATCAACATGAAAGCGAGTCAGAAGCAGAAGAATTGAGTGCTGCTGAGCTCCACTTGGAAGTCTTATCACATGAGACTGCATTGTTATGAGACCATTTCTGTCCAATACTCTTCGGTGATAATGAATTTTTCCAGCATCCACTCTAAAGAAAAAAATGCAAGTTATCTAGGAGCAAAAGAAATTTGCAAATGAATTCTAATTATCCAGTATTCCAATGCCATTAATTAGATTACCCACAGTCTTACTGATGTCTGTTGTGCTAATTTTCAATGCAGCAATCACAAAATTAGGAAGTAACAAAATTTAACGTGTGAAATTGATTTACTGTACAAAGTGTTTTATATCACTTTCTCTAAAAGCTTTTGCTTTATTCAGTGACCAGGAAAAAGAGTGGCCATACAATAGGAGACCACTTGGGGATTCAGGTTCATTTTGTTGTTGTTATTATTTCAGAATATTTCAGAATTATAGATGAGAATTGTAGGAGAATAATATGCAGTGCCTGAGGAAAGAGAACTGAACGCATTGTTGTAAATTCTAAGTCATAATAAAGAAGCCACCTACAACCAAGCTTTTTAGAATAGCTCTTAATTAGGAGTTAAAGTTTAAAAAAAAAAGAAAAAAGAACTTTAAACATACAGCTTAATTCATCATGACCTACAATTGTGCCAGAGCAAGAAGAAGGAAATGACTTACCTCTGTATTTGTGAAATTAAAAGTAAAACACAGCACAACATAGCACTTTACAAAACGCTTCAGAAAGATGACTGTTATTGCCCCCCTCTGAACTATATGCAAAAAAAAAAACAAGCTTTGGAATACAATATATGAAAAACATATGCAATACATGAAAAACATATTCTTGGCGTCAGATGGAACACTCAGCCATGATTTGATCCCTGTTTGTAGATACCCAACTCACAGAAGGGAATGACCTCTCAATCTCTAATCTTCCCTACAGAGAACTTACAGTATCATCTAGCTATTCTGTCACTGAAGCAAAGAAGGTGGTCGCTGACTGATGATTTTGGCTTTTTCCTTAAATTCTTTTCTGTTGCAGAAGCATCGGGCTTTATTAGGTGCTTAATTTTTCCTGTTCTCTACGTTGTCTTTAGTGCTCTGAGAATAGGAATCCTTCAAGCTCTGTCTACTGACCCAACAGAGAATCTCTGATTCCATGAGAGAATATCAGGAAGTATAACAAACTCAAGGAAGAGACCAGTACTTAGAATCAAAGAATCTTTAAGGTTGGAATAGACAACTAAGACCACCAAGTTCAACCCCAACCCATCCTGCCATGGACACAGCTTTCCCTGTAGAACGGCCTGGGTTGAAAAGGACCACAATGATCATCCAGTTTCAACCCCCTGCTGTGTGCAGGGTTTCCAACCAACAGACCACGCTGCCCAGAGCCACATCCAGGATTAGCCATGCCTGCTAACCATGTCCCTCAGTGCCACCACTTCCCTAGGCAGCCTATGTCAATGTTCCACCACTCCTTCTGAGAATTTTTTTTTTCCTAATATCCAACCTGAACCTCACCTGGGACAGCTTAAGGCATCATCTCTTATCCTATTGCTGTTACTTGGGAGAACAGGCCTCCCTCCACTTCACTACAACCTCCTTTCAGGGAACTGGAGAAAGCGATCGGGTCTTCCCTGTACCTGCTCTTCTCCAGATGGAACAATCTCATTTCCTCAGCTGCTCTCCATAAGACTTGAGCTCCAGACACCTTGCAACTCTGTTGTCCTTCTTTGTCCCATTCTAGGGCCTCACTGTCATTCTTGTGATCAAAATTACAAAAGAGGCCCCAAGAATCAAACACTCCCATTAGTAAGGATAAGGTGCTACCAGTACAGGTAAGGGCTTAAACAATACACAGGACTACAAAATTTTCTAACCTATCAGTAGAAATTCGCTCAATTTAATTTAACTTATAGAGCAAAATATAAAATTACTTGAAAGCCCCACTGTGAAGGTCTCTCTGGAGCTCTCCTTGCCACCTGGCACGCCCCAGGCGCTCCAAGATGCAGTAGGAGAAGTCGGGAAGCTTTAAGTCAGGATCCCCTTCCCAGCCTATCAGGGCTCTGTAGCGTTGGTCCTGGGAAGCCACGATGACCAGCTTGTCTCCCCATCTAACAGAAGAAAAAGAAACAAAAGATTATTACAGAATTATAAATGTTGGAAAGGACCTGAGGTTGTTATCAAGTCCAACTCCCTATCAAAGCAGTTTCCCTACAGTAGGCTATACAGGAAAAAGTCCAGGAAGGGTTGGGTATCTCCACAGAAGGAGACTGCCCACCTTTCTGTGCAGTTCCAGTGCTCTGTCACCCTCACAGTAACAAACTTCTTCCTCGTATTCCTCATATTACTTAAATCCATAAAAACAAAGAGATAAGTTGCATTCCCCCCAAGATTACATTCTTCATAGAATTTTTCAAAAAGAAAGTTAAAAGATCATGGTTTAAAAATTAAGTTAAATATTCTTTAATGCCAGGTGTTGGGATTTCACTCACTTTTCAACAGCTTCTGTGTAGGTACAGCAAGGCTGCAAGTCCTTCCTCCTTATCTGATCGGTGATGTCCACTCTCTCTTTAAAGAATTGGCAGGAACCCTGCAGGCCATCTTTATCATCCAAAATCATGTGGACAGGGTAGATGTCATCCAACGGCAGGGGATCCCTCTTGGTTTCCAGTATCCCCGTCTCGAGGTCGATCTCCTCATACCTGCAACGAGAGCGGCCAGCATGTCACCGGGCAGCTCCGGGGGGCTGCGGGGAGGGGAGCAGGGCGGGGTTCGCTCACCGGTCGTGCAGGCGGAGCGGCGGCCGCGCCCGCGGTAGCAGGTAGAAGCGGAGGTCGGGCTGGGAGCTGAGCGCGGCCCACAGCAGCTGTCTGGTGGCGGGCTCCAGAGGCAGCGGGAAAGGCGGTGTGCGGGCGGCCAGGCGCTGCCACAGCGCTCCCAGAGTGATGCCATCCAAACCCTCCAAAGCCACTTCGTCCAGCAGCGCCCACAGCGCCTCCATGCTCCGCGCCGCTCACTTCCGGCACCGCGTAGCGGCGCGCCGGAAGTGACGTCGCATTCTGCGACGGTAACCAAGGCAACGCAGAAACAGGTCGGTGGCAGCGCGGCCTGGCCTGGCGTTGCCCGTTACGCGGGCTCTGGGCGCGGTGGGGCCCAAATCCAGTACGTGGGCGGCTGGGCCCTGGCTCGGGCTCGGGCCCTGTTCCGCTGCCCAGCTCCGACGTTGTGCTGCCTCGGTGGAGGCGAGGGTGCGGTGTTGTAACAGAGGTACGGTGCGATTGGTAAGAGCCAAAATACGAAGTTTCAGTTTTTTCATAAGGAAGTAAACGTTTTAGCCACAAGTTTAAACTTCTCAGTACACTGGGTATTGGGAGGAAATTATTTTGAGGGTGGTGAGACACTGGAATAGTGTCTAGAGGTTGCCCCTGAGAGTTTGTGGATGCCCCCTCCTAAGTGGTATTCAGAGCTAGGCTGGGAGAGGCTTTGAGCAGCCTGGTCCAGAGGGAGGTGTTCCCTGCCTGTAGTTGGGAGGCTGGAACTAGATGATCTTAAAAGTCCCTTCCAAACCCAACCATTCTATGATATGATTGCACTCTACCACAACTTGTAGCAGCAACTCTGGAATACTCAGTAGGAAATGTTCACGTTTCCCAAAAGGCAAGGTAAAATCTTCAATGTATACATTTTTAAATGTATACAGGCTCTAAAGTGAATAAGTCTTAGATTTAACTGACCCTGTAAATAGTACCAGCACAGGAATGGCAGCAGGGAAATGTTAGGTCCCAGCTTGAACTGGTGATTGAACAGCTGGGGAAGGCTGCCCATGGAGCACAGGCAGATGGTTTGCACCTGTGACCAGAAGGGTAAACTTCCCCCCCCCCCCCCCCTTGGCTTATATAAGGCCCAGCCACTGAAGAGAGTGCTTTTCTTAGACCTCAGTTACTTTCTGAGGTGTGCTTTCACCAGTGGGGGTGAGTTCAACTCTTCTTTCTGTATATTATTGGCCTACCTTTAAACATTTTGCCTCCTGTTGCTGAGAACCTGTCAGAAGCAATTTGCTTCTTTGTAAACAGGAGAAATGGCATGGCCCTTTCAAAGGAATGTCAGTTCCTGGATTGAAAATCCACACACTGTAGAATCTGCTTCTTCATTCTGTTATTTTGAGAAAAGCAACTAATGTATTCTCTGTTCATCAGGGAACTTGTTAAATAATTTGTTTTATACTATGTTGAAAGAGGAGCTTCTCTCAGCTTAGCGTATTCATGGCTAAGGAGGGTGTTGAACCAGTAATATTCTATAGTGAATAATTTAAATACTTGACTGTGACAATTCTATATTCTTTTCAGCTTTATATTAAGGACATGGTAACTAACTTTGATGAAAAACATGATGAATATTTAATAGCACTTCAGCAGAGAAACCGGTAAGCATTGTTCCCACTCTCATTGAGTACATGATGTATGTATGGTAACTGCTGAGTCATAGCCTGAACTACTGATTGATCACCTGGGGAAAGGACTGGGTCAGCCCTGGGAGCACAGGTGAAGGCAATGCAACTGTGTGACCAAAAGCGGTGAAGCCTGGCTGCACTTCTCTTAGGCCTTATTTAAGGGCTGACTGCCACTGGGGAAGGATCTCTGGTTGGAGATTCCTCCCTGTGGAGTTTTCTCTGCTGCCCTCGCTCTTTAGGGATGTGTGAGCACTTTTCCTTTGTAACACCATTCCATTTGCTCTCGCCCCTTTGCTGTTATGCTCCTTCCACGTTAATTTTTCCAACTGTAACATATGGTATTAAACATAAACAGTGGTGAATGTTTGTTCAAAACTTGGTTGTAATGTGAAATTTGGTTTGCTGTATTGCAACACCTGACTTGGTGTGACTTGTTTGAAACAGCTGAGGTAACTTTGAGACCTCAGAAGGAGCCTTTGTTCAGGTGTCAGGCTGTTGTGTGATGTCTGTTATGTACTGGAAGGGAGGTGCAAGCAATACCTGAGCAGGTGAGAAATAGGACTTGTGGTTCAAACTCATGCCCTAGCTTATTTTGTTGTTGTTTTGAGAGGAGCTCAACTATTTTAAGATTTCTAAATTACTAACCAAAACTCTCAGAAGTTCTCAAGTAGCAAGTTTAAGCATATAGAATACCAAGTGGGGAAAAAAAAAGTGAAATGATAAGCAATCTAGTGGAAGTCTTAGAAGGGAAACGATTGAGCTTAAGTCACAGGGTGTCAGTACTCATACAGGCGTTGTAGAACATGAAGATCCTGAAAGTTATGTCCTAATTTGTTACTTGAGCAATGAAATACTTTTTTCTTTTAACTCTGTCAAGCTATCTTTGCATTTATTGCTAACTTTACCTGTATTTGTACTGCAGATGGTTGAGTTATTCTTTCTGCTTTAGGCTACTGAAATGTTTGAAAAGAAAGGATCCTGCACAAATCAAACTGGAGCAGTTAGAGCAGGGGTTTTCTCTGTATATGAATGGAGCGAATTCGGAGCTGAGAAACTACCACAAAAAAATCCCCTCATTTGGGTGCTTCAGAAATGAGACACAGTCCTCCACTACGAACGGTGAGCTACACAGAGGCAGCAGTCTGGAACTGTTTAAAGTATTTACTCATCAGAACTGTCATCTGATCATTGAAATTACTCCCTGGGCTGTGTGGCAGTGTACTTACTCAGCTGCTTGTGTGTTACAAAGCAGTCTCTGCAACTCCCTATAAGTTGTTTAGTTGATCTCTAATTCCAATGCTTAGTTTCCTCACCTTCCTGCTTTTAACTGGAAAATTAGAAATTGCCGTTGTAATGCCTTTGATATGTAGCACTGTTCTCAGACTTTAAGAACTGATGGATTCCCATGTTGTCTAATGTCCTGCAGATAAATGGCATTTGATTGAATAGACTGTAGTCAAATTACAGACTTAAATTTTGTTTAAACTATCGCAGTCTTCTTTAAAAGTCAGGTAATCTTTGTTCAAATATTTGAAGTAAAGACAATTTGTCATCTGCTAGTGATTAGCTGCCTCTTCTTGGACTGTGTATTTTAGTTCCAGTTAAAGTCTTTCTGTCAAAGAGCAGAATAGTAGTAGGTGTAATTTTACATCTGTGAAATTATAGAGAGTGAGCTTAGTGGCCTTCTAATCCATTTAGTTTAATGAAAATAAATGATTTCAGTAAATCCCAGTGTAAAGCAGTTTATCCTCATATTAATATAACCTATCTCATAGAGTATATCTTTTAAATTTGTTGCTATGTAAAGTGTCTAAGCTTTATTATTTGCTTAACGATGAAGACAAACTTAAAAATAATGTCAGAATTTCTGATTGAAGGCTTACTAATCTCAGCAATACAGAAAGCTAGCTTCATTCAGTATCCATACTCCAGTCTCTTTTAGGGTTTTTTTATTTTTCCCTCTCTCCCTTCTCCCCTGGAACTATTTGTTTTCATGTTGAGTTCAGATTTAGCTGTCTGTTATGTGACAGATATCACACAGCATGGAGATAGGGGACGAGCTCATCACCTGTGTCCTGCCTTGGTTGTGTGTAATGATGCAAATACTGCACGTTCTTGAATATTGGAAAAAAGGAAAGGAAATTGAGTGCTTCTGTCTGAATTAGGGAGATATGCTTTTAGGCATCTGAAGTATGACGTATATGAAGTAAGACAAATACCTGATTATTTTTTTTTTGTCCAAATATTGTGCTGGCAATTGTAACAGATCACTCAGGAGAGATTTACCTCTTCTCTAAGCTTAACTAAAGAATTTTTTTGTTAGCCTGTTGTCCCTTGATTGAGCTGAGGTAGAATACTTGAATCTTGTCAGTAGGACCTGAGGTACTGTGGTGTTTTTTTAAAGGTATCATGGCAGCCTTTTTTCCCTTCCTCAGCTCTGCCAACTTAAAGAGATAAAGCCACTGTCTCTAAAACAAGTGTGTTCTGCTATTTAACAGCCACCAGGTGTTCCCATCTTAAACATGTGTCGTGACAATGAAAGACACCAACGAAATCATCATCCTGTCATTTTTCTTCTTCAATTTCATTTTACCACCACAGTCCAGAACAGCTGTCTGTGATCTATGTAGAATTCTTGCCCTAGGGTAGTATCTTAGCAATTCTGTAGTCTGTTTCATTTTTAAGCATTTCTTCTCAGTGATTGAATGTTATTTTACTGACCAAAATGAATTTTGGTTAAGGCACAGCGCTGAATTTTTTTCCCTATCTCTCATGAGAGTTATTGCATCGTTTATTACTTCCAAAGCATCCCTCTCTCTGATCAGTCTTCTCTAAAAAATTCAGAATGCGTGATACCTAATAGTACAGAAGGGGCTCTTTATGCTTCCTGAAACTGTCCTTATTCATCTTTGTGTTCCCTCAAAATAATTAGTAACAGTGGTTGACACACACCTTAGGCTTAGGCTTGGTAAGTGAATTGATATGATAGTGAAGCTGGTCTCCACATACACTGTCATTGATTTGGATGTATAACCCAGGTATGCTTTCACAACAAGCATGTCCTTCCAGTGAATGTCAACATAATAAAAATGATGTGGCTTAAGGGTAGTCTGGGATCTCTTCCTAATGTTTTAATGATGTACAATTAAGTTGTTGGCTGCTGGAATACACACTGTCAGTTTGCATTTGCAAATGTACTCCTGCTAGAGAATGACTACACTAACCTATTTTGTGTGTTGAAACAGGTAATAGTATTCACATGCCATCCATCTTTTGGGAAGGATGTTTTTGTACAGAATGAATGTTTGGCACAGAGGCAGGTAGCTCAGTTGCATCATCTGCTGCTTGGGAGTTGAACTACTGTTTTTAATGACTTAGAAAAATGTAGTCATGGGAATCCATCACAAGAAAGAAAAGTTGCCTAACTCTGAGGTGGCATGAGTCTTACCACGTCCCTTTTCTTCCAGGCACTTATACCATACATCATTGACCTTCTGAGCATTTGCTGAGAAAAGATGAACTGCTTAGGAATGAAAACTAAACATCTTCATTCAGTTTTGTCCTGAAGCAGTGACTGAGTCAGACCGTGCTTTTAGCATTGTACTTCTAGCACTGGTCGCCCTTGATGCCTGAAGAGCCTCATATCAGTCTTTGATGATGGCTGCAAGGCATTCTTGGAGTTACTTAGGAGTAGCCCAATGGTGTAAGGGGAGCTGTAGTTAAAAGGGATATTTTGCCAAAGTATCAAGCATCTTGTTTCCTCCCTAGAATGGTCCATCACCTTTTCCCTCTGTTCTTTGTCCTATTTCATGCATCTGGGAATGAGAAAGATCCTTTGGGCTGAGGCAATAGAACAAGTATGTTCTCTCACTCTAGTTTTACTATCGCCCTAAATTGACATAAGCCTGCACTGTTGCCCTAAGAATGGCCCTTCCCTCTGGTGCCTTTCTCAAATGAGCTTCTACTAGAAATGACAGGGAACCAGAAAACGTAAGAGGCTACAATTAAAAGTAATCATTTGTCTGTATTTTTCCTCAGTTAAAATTTGCTGTTAGCAAATTTTTTGAACCATTCACTGCATAGATGGATGTAGGGGTTTATCCAGCCTCCCAAAGAAGACGTGACATTGGAGGCTGGGATGAGCCAACTGATGTAATTTTGAAGTAAGCCCCGCTTTGTATTGAAGTTGCACTAAGTGACCTCCAGAGGTCCCTTCCAATGTAAATCTTTCCTTGGTTCTATGACCTTGGTATGAAGACTGCTTCTTTTATTGGTTGTACAAGTTCCTACTGGCTTAAGATGACCATTAAATTATGGCTTAAAGAAGAAAGGTTTTGCATCAGCTGTTTTTCTTCACTGAGAAGAAATGGAAGCTGTAAATCTGTCTTGGACATAGGAAATGAGATGCCTTTATTTAGGATGGTATTGAGAGTGTTGATTATGTCCTTGCTCTCTTGGGGATGTTGCTGTGACCTGCAGGATGTAGGTCTCTGTGTCTTAGTCAAAGTATCTTCTGAAAAATCCATTGCTTCACTGGGACCATTTCCAGTGCAAGGACTCTTGTTCTTCTTGACCACACATGGAATTTTCACCTAGGTTATGACACTCTTTGTTGCCTTAGGAAATGAATCATTTTCCTTAGTCTGACTAGCACGCAAAGAATACTTCTCTGCACATGTTAAACGCGTAGTACATTCTATTTAATCTACCAATAACTTGTTTCCTTAGTTTGATACTCAGTACTTCCTTTGTAAACTCAGTGTAACATCTACTGTTCACCAGGACCTTGTTTATCAAAGTCTGCCTTCAGTTTCTGAAGACTCCTTACTCTACCCAGGTAGGAATCAGAAAGATATGCATATGTATGCTAGAACATACTTCAGTACTTTCATACCAGTGAATGTGGAGCTTTACAAGCTGATTATGTAGCTTTAAGCAATTTACACTCTTGAACACACAGTAGTAGTAATCCCCAAAGGAATCAGAACTCTTGCCACTGGTACACAACTAGCCGGTTTTTGGGGTGGAATGCCTTTCTAATTGTTATTCCTGTTCTTGTATCAGAAACATTCCCTTTTCTCCTCATCTGAGGGAGAGAAATAATTATATGCATCTTTAAATACTGTATTTCTCTTCTCTGAATTCTAATTCTTGCCTCTGGAACAGCATCCCAGCTAAAAGCCAGTGAATTGCAAGTACGCAGTGCACAGACTGCACCAAGAAAAATACAACGCAAAGGATGGCTTCAGGTAAGAAACAGCTTGAAGTAATGCATCTTTGAACTATTTCTTACGACACAGACTTACAGCTCCTCTTGTTTGTTCCCCGTGTGTTTGTTCTCCGTTGGTATAGAGGTATTTCAGAGAGGCACCCAAGTGTGCCAGCTTCCTGAGCAAACTGTAGTGCCTTCCCCATGAGACTATTCTGCAAATACTTCTTTATATTCCTGTGCTTTAAGAGATTTAACTGTAGCTGCTTTGTTGATTGCTATGTTCCTTTTCCTGTGTTTTTTTTTTCCCTACTCTGGTGCCATAGGTATGACTTGTGCTGGATGTGAACTCCTCCATGGAACAGCTGAGGAAAAGATTGCTTGATCTCCATATTATCTACAGATGTTTATTGATTATAGTACTGCTGACAGCAAGAAAAAATATTCAAATGATTTTGCCTGTTTTAACAGAAAGCTGTGGAGATTAAAACAGAAAGAGGGACCAAACTCTGCGTTAAACCTCCTCTTGAGTACTCTGAGGATTTTGAACCTTATGAAAGCATGAGCATGGAGAGAAATAGTGATGATCCTCTCCATTACTCCCAGGTATGATGAGCGGTTGCCCTCTGTTGTTCGTGCTTTTGTCAGTCAATTAAAATGTGAATGGAGACAAGTATCAGTATTGACTAGAGCATTCAAATCCAGCATAATTTACACTTAGTTCACAACATTTTTATTTTTTTTTCCCATGTTGGAAGTGTGACATGAAGGAGAAAATGAAAAGAAAAAGTAAAGCTACTTGAAAATCTATTCTCAGTCAGCAACACTAAGATGTTAAGGCCTAATTTATAGAGGCAGACTGTTTCGATTGAACAGAACCAACGAGTCTGTCACTTTACTCAGTGTTTGTCCATGTGGACTTTACTCTTGACTGTCAGATTACAGAAAGCTTAAATGATTTGTTTTCTTTGTAGCTAATTTTTTGGACGGTCAAGGTGAAATTGTTGTATGTCATGACTTTACCTTACTGATGTCAGAGTAAAGTTTTGAAATAATACATTTTTTTTTTCCATCAAGGGTTATTACAGTGTGCAATTCTTTGGCAATTCTGCCTTCTATTTGGTTACTATTTTTTGTTCTAGCACATGTTGTGACTATCCGTAGAGCAGGGGGAAAAACCCTGCAACCTCTGAATCTCTGCATGACATCACTTCTTGGTAGCTTTTGTATAGTTAACATCAGATGAACTTTAAGTGCATTTTCCTAGCTTGCGTTTTCAGAGGTTCAGTATCAGCTTTCATTTTGATATATCCCATGAATTATTTTTACTGGCAAAGTTGCTTGTACGAAATCAATTACCATCTTAATTAGCAAACAAGTAAATCTAATACCACTGTGGCTACCTTCTCCTTCTGCTACCCCTTTGCCATTCCTCACTGTGTGCCCTGGTCCAGCACATGCTGTCATGGAAAGATGAGCAGCTGTTTTCAGTACAGAAACTGCTAAGTTGATTAGATTTAGAATGGGAAGTAACACAGTATTTTAGAAGTAAGAGTTAGTGTTATGAACTAAGACATCAAAGCTCCTGTAACAGAAGATGTGAATAGAGCAGGTCACGTTGTAAAAGCTTGTGAGTCTCTCAGTAGACATGACTTGCAGTTTTTCTGTTTTTAAACCTTTATTTTTAAGTTAGACAAGTACATATAGTCTTAATGCACTGGTGGAATGTTCGTGAATTCCATGTCTTTGTGTTCCAGTGGAATGATAGAAAAGCAGACTACCTCCATTATTCTGCATTTCTACATTTCCTGTATTGCTTTTGAGCTTATGATTTTATTTGTCACCCTGTAAAGCTGTAACTTGCTTTCAGTGACAGATTTTTATAATTACTTATGTGTAAGTAACAAGCTTTTAATTTTGAAACAAAAGTCCACTTTTCTTTGTACTGCAGCTGGAAATATGTTTGGTTTTCCTGAAGCTGAAGTTTGTTCTCTGAACTGTCTTACAATGCTGTGATGTTTTAAACTTAAAAGAAAGCTCATAAAATTCCCTGTCAAATAGAAATATTAGCCTTGCCTATCATTAAGACATGCTCAATATCAAGCTTCAGGTTGTTCATAGACCCTTTCTTGAACTTGAATTTGCCTTTTCTTTGTAGTATGTTTCTGTCAATATGGTTTTCCTAACAAGTCTAATCTGTAACAGGAGAGCAGCATGCAGTTTTCATTACAGACTAAATGTACGCTGTCACAGTTCATTTGTATCTAAGATAGCTTTGAGTTTTTGTTTTACTCATGCAGTTTGCTTACTTCTCTCAAAGTTGTATCAGCAGAGGTAGAAAAAAATGCATTGAGGATAGACGAGATCTTTTCCTTTAGCAGTCATAAAAATGAAAGGCTCTCCTGCATCTTCTATGCTGTTTGTGGCATTTGCTGAGCAATGCTGGGCAGTTTATTCAGTAGTAAATTAATAGTTGAATTTTTGCAAAAAATCCTGTTACAACAGGTCTAATTAAATCAATTGGACTGTCTTTTCTACTGTTTTTTTTTTTTTTTTCTCTTTAAGTATAGATGTCTACAGTATTACCATACCTTAAATTACGTACAAAGAAGTTACCTTTGCAGAATCATGGAACAGTTGATGGTGGAAGGGACATTGGAGCAGAGGACCCCAATCCCTGCTCCAGCAGGGCTGCCCAGAGCAGGATGCCCACATCCAGGCAGCTCTGGAAGATCTCCAGGGAGGGGACCCCACAGCCCCTGGGTAGCCTGTGTCAGTGCTCCATCACCTCCATAATAAGGAAATGTTTCCTGGTATTAACTGATAAACACAAAATAAAACATAAGTTCTATTGCCATGCACTGTTGTCTTTGCCCCTTCCTTTAAATATTTATAGACGTTTATAAAATACCCTTGAACCTTCTCTTCTCCTTACTGAATAATTCCAACTCTCAACCTCTCCTGATGGGAGAGGTACTCCAGTCCTTTCATCTCCATGCTTGGACTCTCTGCAGTATGTCCAGGTCTCTCCTGTACTGGGGGGGGGTCAAGAACTAGACACAGCTTCACCAACACTCAGTAGAAGGGAAGAATCGCCTCTCTTGACCTGCTGCTGATAGCCTGATGCAACCAAGAGTGCCATTAGCCTTAGTGGTGAAGGCACGTTGCTGAAACATTGTATTAGCCTCACAATCTGAAGAATACTTCTGAAAAATCTGATAGTCCTGAAATACCAAGCCAAAAGTTTTATTTATCTGTGTAAAACTAGAAAAATATATGCCCTTGGCCTTTCAATTACATACCTCGTGTTTCTAACTTGTTCCTAAATTTCTTGGCCTATAGGATTTTCCTGCAAGGACTCTGATGAGAAAAACACATCCTACATCTCCTGTGTTCTTTCTTTAAATGTCCTCACCAGGGAAGTGAAAATATAACATGGGAATCTGAGTATTTTTAGCTCCATCTCATCTCTTAAAGGGAAAGGCAGCCACACTGGTTTATTTTAAAATAAATATTTGAGTTTTCCTGACAGATTTGTTTGTCTGAATTGTGTCAGAAACTGAAAAGCAGCATGCAACTCAGTGTGGAAGAGGAAAAGATGGAAGAAGATTCTTCTAGTGAGGATTATGACTTTGTTGAAGAGGAAGTGTTTTCAGAACCATCTCTTACTGAAGAAACAATTACAAGCTTTGGAAGCCTTCAGTTGCACAGCAGTAGATCATTGCAGAAGGAAGCTTCTGAATGTCAGGATGCTGGAAGATGCTCTGGCCTGGTTTCTGGTGCCCTTACTGCATTGGAGTACAAGCAGGATCAAAGTAGTAAGCCTCTGTTGTACATTGTTAAAGTTCTCTAATACATCTTTGAGAGTGTTGCTTCTAAGAGAATCGCTACAAATCTGTGCCATAATTCACAGTACCAGTGTCCACAGTTATGTGCTGGAAAGGTGTCATACAAGGTAACAAACTTGTTTTTTAATAACTGTGCATCCTTATCACCTCCTTCCTTGGATAACATAAAGAGAAAACCAAGTGTGTGGTATTGTCTTTGTGGAGACTTCTGCCCGGGGGAATCCTTTCACTGTATGTCCTTGCAGAAATAATTCTTCTTGAAGCATATTTGGAGTTTAATAAGTTATAGGGGGCAACCTTCTTGTAGTCCCAAGGTCTGTGTCAGGCTTGAATATAATGAAAGTTATAAGTGCAACATTCAGTTTGTATACATGGATAGGCATCATATAATTTGTTCTTTTTTATGTATAAGTACAAAAAATATTGCCATGGGATATTTAGAAGGTCAAATACATTAATGGCTTAATTGCTAGATGTTACAAATTTCTTCAGCTAGCAAGTTCATTATACTTTGAATTAAATGCAAACTTCAGCCTTGTGAAGAATGCACTGTATATTTTATATTTTTCCCTGTGCATCTGCTGCTCACTGCTGTCAGAGACAAGATCTTAACCATAGCTGGTTATTTGTTCTGATCCATTAGGGATGCTGTTATACCCAAGGGAGTTGTACACTGGGATTTGCTATGCTGTTTGCCAGAGGAAAGGCAATTGAGGCTGTAGGCACACACAGCTTCTCAGCGTTGACAGCTACATCAGCTTTCAGCTGAGGCTTCAGCTTCCTGGGCTAGCTTTTCCCCCAAGAATTTAGTAACAAGTTTCAACCCCTCTGATAGGCCCCAGGTATGCAGGTTTCAGGTCTGAGATAGGAAAAAATAACCACCATTAAACTAGTGTCTATGTTACATTGTATTGAAAGTAATATGCAGGAAGATTTAACTGGTTTTGACAGATAAATGCTTGCTTCTGATACAGAAGGCAGAAGCACAACAGTGCTGACTGTCTGGCAGCCAGGCTTTAGGTCCAGCTTTATATATTCAATACTGAATGACTCAATCACCTGGTCTGAACCTATACAGCAGTAGACCTAACACTTGTGCAAACGAATTCTGGGTATTGTTTGGGGAAGTTTCTCTATGTTTCAAGTGCTAGCAGTGCATACAACAGAGTGGTCATATGTGGGCTGCTACTCCAAAGCCAGAGTGTTTCTGGGTTAGTAATATCTGTGTGACTACTTAGTGCTTTGCTTCTCCATGTGCTACTTTCAGGACGCTGTAGGAATGAGCTTTACCCAGTAGTATTTCAGTTCTTCTCAGCTATCTTTCCCACTGATTAAAAATCATTGTTTCCCACTCAGAAATTCATATCTACTATTGCTTCCTCATTAACTCCCATTGTTTCACTTGATGGGTCTTTATTCTCGTTAGCGCAAATACTTGTTTCCTTCTGTAGCAGAAAAATAGCTCTTTAGCAATGTCACCTAAAACTTGTGCTGGTGTCTAACTTCTGTCTTCACTCATTTCCTTTGTAATATCTCTTCATTTCTGCTGTCTGACATCCTTTCCTTAGATTGGCTTTCCTTCTGAAATTCCTTTGGGTTGTGTCAGAGAAACAACATCAGACAAAGCTTCTGTTTTTATTGCTGGCATTATATCACAGTGAGGTAAGGGTTGACACAGCTGCTTCTTTCTTCATCTGTCCTGTTAGCAATAGCCACACGTCAGGTGCTTGCCCTGTCTTAAGATGATTCTGTTGTTCCAGATAAGTGTAGTATTTTTGGGGCACTGAAGTAAGATCTCTTTACCTACACTCAGTATTCCTCAGAATTACCTCCCCACTCATTTCAGGTGCATTTTGTTCTTTTTGTTTTTTCCCTTCATCCATACTTAATTGCTCAACTTAAGAGAAACACTTTTTGAATCAATTGAGTAAAGGAGGATTCTTATAGAAGTAAGCAGTGTGTAAATAGGGAGAGCCAGAAGAATAAGGGGTGTAATGGCAGTGAGAACATGAGTATGTGGCTTATTACCCCCCCACCTCCAAAAGTAAGAGCAGATATGTACTCCTATGAACTAAATGACCATTTACTTTTAGTCTATGCTTCAGGAATAATTCTGGTACAATTATATTAATGACTCAGGGTTTCTCATTTATTTTTGCTCTTCTGGTCATCAATGTTTGAAAATACCTGGTATATCAAGATATATTGGTCTAATGACCTACCTTATAGTGATATATTTCACTGCTAAGTTGGTTGGGCTGTGCTTATGAATAGAACATAGAGCTGCATCAGTAAAAGGAAGGGAGGATGGAGGTTATCACTTTACCTACGCCAGCATAATTAAAGCGGTGAAACTTAAGCATTTAAGGTCCAATAGTTCTTCCTGTCTCACTACTTCTGAAGATCTCTGAAGCTGATTTTCTGTTTCCTTGTCTTACAGAATTGAAGCCAGTGCGAGTTCTCTCAGCCAAAAGAAAAGATAATGCTGAAACGTATATTCCTGTCAGACCAGTTGTGGCAAAAAGTAAAATCAATCGACCGTTCTCTGCTGAGTCCTTGCAGCCAGATGGGCAGGAAAGAATTTGCTATAGTAAGAAATACGAATAGATGTCAATAAAGAAAGTGCTCATGATTTTGTTTTTCAATCTGATTCAGGTGTAATTTCATCTGTCATTATGAGACTTCTTTACCTTTCTTTATTATTTTTTTTTTTTAGCACTTCAAAAATTCTGACGTAAGTAGAATAGTGAGAAAAATCCAGAGCTTGCACACTTGAGTCTGTGCTGTGTCTCCGTTAATTTCCTTCTCTTTTTGCTTCTATACCCTAAGACTTTCTCCTCCCTTTTTGATTCTTGTTTGCTCTATTTTCTGCTTCTCTGATGGATATCTGTTCTGTATGACATTAGCAGAAATGTGTTTTAAGATCTGGAATTCATGCTTAGTTGAAAGTTTTGAACGCAATGCATTTATAGCAAGAAAGGAACAGAATTTTTCCGCCGCCAAAGTTGATGCTTTCAGATTTTTTTTTTTAAGTCTCCTCTCCTTTAAATTTTTTTTTCCAGTCTGTGATGTTTCTGTTTTTCTGTCACGTTTGGGAAGAACTTCATAAGGTCACTTATTTTATGTTGCAAGTAGCAATGTCTGACTCTTGATTTTACCAGAAGAATCTTGGGATTCCTCCAGAATAGCTGAATACTGAAGTTGCATTGAGAAATGTTGGTGTGCTGAAATCATATTCTTCTATTTCAATTAACTGTTGTGAAGCATTCCCATTAAATATCTGAACAAAGTAACTACATTTTCAAAGCATAAACATCCCATTTCTCATTTTACAGTTTCGCTTCTCTTGTCATGCAGTTTCAGCTCTTGTTTAGGGTAGATGTGACCTGGAATCCTAATGTAAAAACAAATTAGAGCAATTTAGCCTTGCTTTAGTTGGTTACTGATTCGTTAATGTAGCCCTATGCTAGTAACAGAATTGGATGTTTCAGATGTATGCTGTTGAAATATTCCGTACTTGTTTGTCTGTACAAATGGATATTCCTTTGTTCTTTTTCATGGCAGGACCATTAAGTCGACCAGAAAGACCACTTTCAGCAGCTAGAAAGAATGAGTGTGAAAAGGACTCTGAACTCTCCGTTTCAGCTGTGGTTAAAGCTATGCAAATTGAAAATGAAGCCTTGCAGAGAGATTTGCAAAGCCAGTCAGTTTCCACAAACCCTCAAAAGGTATGGCAAAAAAATGTGCTTAATCAAGAAGGAGAAAAGACATTTTCCTTAAACACAAATTATAATAGTTAATTCTTGCACAGTTTTACAATTGTGTAAGAATAAACAGTGATATTTCAATTGTAATTGGATTTGTGTTACTTCCACAGGGGTGTATGTGTGTATTTTCATTTGTTTTTTAAGTCTGGTTCCTTGGATATCATCACACAGCCTTCTCTTGGTTTGAGGGATCTCTGAGCTGATAGCTCACTCATGTGATATGTCCACACAGCCAAGTGCACAGCTGTAGGCCCATTTGAGCCATTTTCACTCTGAAAGCTTCTTAAACAAGATATGTAATTTCCTTGCCAATATTTCCTATCTTCTTGCAAAGCTCATTAATAAGAGCATATTCTCTTGTTAATAATACATACTCAGCATGTGCAGTGTGTGTATTATCTCTTATCTCCAATTAGCATGTTTAAAAGCAATTAAAAACTTACTTAATAAACAAGGCAATAAGCAAAAATTTACTCTCTTCAGGTCAAGCCATTATTCCCTCTTAGGTAAAAGAAACAGGAGATTTGTGCAGACAGTCTTTGCTAAACACTGGGCATAATTCTATCCTTTTAACAGGAATACAGTACATGAAGAAATTCAGTTGTAAGTTGTTAAGCTTGCAGAACTATCTGTTTGGGACAGTGTGCATAGATTCAAAATCTGTTTAATCACCATTTTGTTAGAAAGAAAAAAAGAGGTGTATGTACATAATGGTCTGATGATGGTCTGTTGTTTTTTTCGGGGGGGTGGCAGTCCTGTGTGACAGGAGTTGGACTTGTTGATCCTTATTTGTCCATTCCATCTTGGAATATTCTATGATTCTATATCTTCTTGGAGCTAACTGAGTTCTGAGAGTTTCCAAGACTGTTTACAGTTCTAATCTAAAATGATGCTCCCTGAGATAGTGAGATATTGCTGTTTTGAATATGTAGCCACCGTTATCTCTGAGCCAGCATTAAGTTTTGATCAGAAATTGAGGCAAATTAAGACCAACTCTGCTGAATGTGCTTTAACTCTGTGTGTAGAGTTACAGATTAACTAAGGTTAGCAGAGCCCAGAAATTAGCATGAACTCATTATTCTGAAGGTGCAGACTGATACTCGCTGGTATATAGAGAACAATGTGAATGAAACATGTCTTTTTCTTACGTAGAAGAAATTTTCTGTTCCATCTGTTCTCTCTGCAATGGTTGAACCTTCAGAAAAAACCCAGGCAAAGACTGCTGTCACAGAAGATGTAGAGAGCACCTGTCCTTTTGGAAACAGGTATCCGTATTTCCTCTAAGACTGACTTCCTTTCTCAGGGGATATTTTTCCATACTGAGCACCACTTCATCTGATGGCCTTTAGATGCCTAAGGGCAAGTATTGGCAAAAACATGGAGAAGACTCTAGCCTTGGACCAGTGGCTGTTAATCAGGGAACTGCCAATAGTTTATATTAGCTATGTATTGCCTCTGTTCATATTATTTTGAATCATTTCTCAAACTGTTTCTTATCTAGCAGAGAAGTGGAGCCTGGTCTTTTAACCAGATCGTGTTTATCAGGTGTGGGATGCTGTGACAGCTGTTGTTCAATATGGGGTACTTAAGTTACTCTGTGGGTGTATGGGTTTATTCTGTCATCTGTTCACTTTCACACCAACAAAATTATTTCTTAAAAATGCGAGAATTAAAGGAAATAATATACAAAAGAACATGTGTTTCAGACAACAGGAGAAACTTCAGGAATTTCTTCAGGAGACTGAGAGCAGTTCTACCTGTGATAATGACATACTCCTATCTGATGAAAAATCAGAAGCAAATTGTGTTTTAACAGAGAAGGTCTGTATATATGTGCACTGTAATTGATGCTTCCAAGTACTACTGAAGTACAAATGCATTGAATGATCAGCATTACCCTGTGGCAGGGTAAGAGAATTTATCACCCTCACAGATTACAGCCCTCTTGAAAGTGCAGGAAAGCAAGTCTCTGTCTTGTTGGTAGGTTCTTTGGATTGTTTAATTCCTGTGGTCTTTGAAGAAGGAGAACATAAGGGAACCTCTTTAGTCCATAATTACTGCTACAGCTGTTTCTGTATTACATTCTCTTCTATACAACTACTAGTTATTACCTTTTCTGCAGTAATAGGACTTTGGGAATGTACCATTGAAGTTCTCCTCTTACTTACCCAGCGATTTCTACTCTCAAGAACTGCCTATCAGTGTTGGATATGTTGCTGACTTCCTCTTTTGATGATTTTGCAACGTAATTTTTGTGTTCCTCTGGTAAATGTGGTGAAAGTAATGAAAAATTCACATCCATACAAAGGGCATTAGATATGTGATGTTTGTAAGGGGGTCCGTTTCATAAAGCTCTTGCAGAAACCCATTTAACCAGTGTATTGGTTTATCTAAATCGCTTAATTCACTTGTTAGCTTTCATTCTTAGTGGTCAAAGGAAGCTGTTTCTTTGGCGTATTTGCTGCTCTAGAAGTTTTCCTATGCTATTTATTTTCTTATTCAATATTATCAAAGCAGCTAGTACTTCAGAAATGTCTCAGTTCTTCATGAGAGCATGCTAATGTTTATCAGATTGCTTGAGCTGTAATATGTCTTGGATTGATTAACCATAGCAATCTGATGTACCTCTTTTTAAAATGTCAGCATTGGGTGCTGTCTTGGTTGAAGTCCTGTTCTAGTTTAGTGGTCTCTGTTAATTCATGCTTTTAATAGACCTAAAAATTTTCATATTAAAACAGATTCTTCTTTGTTAGTAGGGGTAAAGATCCATTATTAATCATCAAGGTGAATGATCTGACATGCAAGACAGCCCAGATGTTTAGCAAAAGTTGATCTCTAAGAGACCTTACGTAAATAAATTCCCTCCCCGCTTGTTTTCTGTTGGTCTGATTCTCTTGGACTGCTTATTGGCAAAGAGATGTAAAAGTTGTGTGGTTGTTTCTGCCCTTTGGGCTCTCATGTGCTGTGAGAGCCAAAACATCAAATATCAGCTTGTACTGGCTTACCAAAACCTACATGGTGGTTTGAATGTTTTAAATTTAAGATGGAACAATTTGGCTGATGTATCTTAATATTTACAGTCTGCAGTACAAATGATAATTTAAATAAAAAAAAATTATCAAATATCGAATCACCCCCAAAAGTGTTTAATGAGGAATGTTTGGAAAAATATAAATCAAAAGCTGTGCAACAGTAGAGTTCTCTCTTGCCTCCTTACCCCAAAGTTTTACAGTACAGTTTGTAATCACAGTTCATGCATTGTTTTTGCAAGCAGAAAATAGTTTTCTCTGTTCATCAGAGCTACGAAGGAATAAGACAAAGCTGTCTGCTCCTTAGTGTAGGGGGTGGATGAAACCTAAGAGGGGGTGGTAAGTTCTCTTCTCTTTCCCTGGGTTTTTTAGTTGGTGTGGGGTAGAATTGGTGGCATGCAGGATGATTAAATATCCAGATAGGTCTGAATTTACAGACTTTTTTCTTCTGAATCAATAGCATTGTAGTCTTAACAGTATATTGCTGCAGATTTTATTGTTTTGTCACTAATGTGTATACTGTATTTCACTTGGGTCCAGATGATGACAAATGTGGAAATACACAATGCCATTTATGTGACTGTGGAACTTCTTTCTAACTGGGGAAATCCAGTAAACATTGGCTTGAGAGAGGTGGAATTCTTTGATTTATACAACAAGAAGATATTTGTGTCTCCTCATGATGTGGACATTCGGAATGCTGACTACCCAGGGGATTTATGCTGCTTGGTCAATAACTTAAATGTAAGACAATAGTTTATTGCTGGATATGACAACTTCTGTTTTTAATGTTTAATATTCTGTCAAAGTTCCTTGTTTGGTTGCTGATTGCATTTTGAATTAACAAATCCAGTTTTCATGTCCAAGATGTTGCTTTTCTGTTATAATGTTTTATAATTTGATTAATTTGTTTGACTTTGTTAACTGAGCAACTGGAGACAGGTGCATTTAACTGTGTTTCTTATGTATTAGTACTTTGATATTGTCTTGGGTGAAGGAACACGTTTTTTACACTGGAATAAAATTTGGAAGAAAAAAATTACAGCCTTAAGGATAGAGAATTTCACATTTTTACAGTATGCCTGCTGTTAAATTAATTAGTTCTTGTGACCTGAAGGTATAGGAGCATCACTGCTAACTTCTTGTTTCAGATGTTTAATGTAAGTTTCAGTAAACTCAAGACAGAAATTGTTTGCTCCTGTTCCCTTGTTTTGCTTTTACCTAGAGAAGGACTATGGAAGAACGGGTAGATAGGTTGACTTCAACAAACGATAAGGAGAAACCTGTGGAGTGGTAGAGGAAAATTACTTCATTGTTCTTATGTCAGGTTGCAAGATGAGGTGCTCTTTCATACTAGAGACAATGGACTTCAAATTACAAATGAAATCCCTGAAGCATTAGCAAATTTACAGAGCCTTTTAAGCAGCTATAATTTCAGTTGTGCTGCAGATTCTCTGTATGTCTTCTGGCCGCTCAATGGAGAGCATTCAGGACTTCAGAGGGTAGGATTCTAATGAAAGCTAGTGTGACTGCTGATTTGTGTGTGTATAGGTCTTTCAGACCTCAGAATCTCAAGAACAAAGGACTGCAGTAGAAATATCTGTATGTGTGAAAGATGCTTCTTCATAATGTTGAACTGTGTCATTTCTCTTTAATGCTCAGCCCTTCCTTCCCTGTAAATTGGGCATAGCTCCAGCAATGACAAAGCCGTGTCTCGGAGGCCAGTCTCCCAGAAAACCAGAAATCAGTTTCCTGCTCTTTTTTTCATTTGATCCAGTGCAAATGTACTTCCAGGGTATCACAATCACTTTGTTGATTCAAAGGACTTTTGGGATAGGTATTTTTCAGCGCTAACTGCAGTGACAATAACTCCAGAGCAGTTGGGATGCTTCATGTATAATGATGTGATAGAACATGACACCTCCCCAGTCTGAGTTTTGACAGGGATTCATCAAGGTGTCTTGAATTTCTGATGTCAGATCTTTGATATGAGTGTGTTCATTCATAATACTTCCACTGATGAACAGCTGTCTCCATAGCTGCTTCTCACTCAAGACCAAATGAGTCTGGCTCTATGTCTGCTGTTAGTTGGAAGACATGTAACTTTACAGATCTTCTGGAGAGCAGCACAAACATGTCTATGCAGTGTCCATTTTAGCTCTGAGTTTGGTGTGAACAGTACAGCCAGATAACCTAGTGCTTTTTCAGGCTGTCAGGTCCTGACTTGAGAGGTGTGAAGATGGATCACTCGTGTTATCAGCCACTGGGAAATGATTTTTTTCATTATCTCTATTCAAAATGTGTCTCAACTGACGTGATCTAGCTTTGACACTGATCATAGAATTGGGTTCACGCTGGCTTGAGGAATATCTTCAACTTCTTCACTGTTAAGAAACTTCTTTTTAATTTTTAATTTTTTTTTAAATGTAGAAAGGAACAAACATTTCTGGTGCTTGTATGGCTGTTTATGCCCCAACCTGATGTTCAAAACAACAACTGTCTCCTAAGACTTTTTGAGTGGCTCCTGGGACAGAGACATTGTCAACCATCAGAACTTGGAATGGGTGAACCACTGTGAGAAGTGGTTCTGTTCACATTATCTCTGCATAGACTGAGGTCTGTCCTTACCATCACCAGGCATACATCTGAATTACCTGATAGGGACGTTTATTTCCTGTCTTTGGGAAAATCTGAAAGACTCACTAAGTGAAGGATGTGGAAAAATAGTGATTTTGTGTACATAGTGTATTTATGTGCTGTGGATCTTTGAAAATAGAAAGAGCTGTAATATATCTACTAATCTCAGATCACCAAAATGTTGTTTGCATGCATATTTATGTTTTGCCCTCATTTATTTCTGCTGTTGGCTAACGTTTGCTATCAAGTATACCAACGTTCAACATTTTGATTCCAAAATTCCTTTTTTTTTCTCTTAGTGAGCTGCCACATACTTTTACTTTTTTGTTCTAAACAGAAATAGACAGCACTTTTTAGCAATGTCCGGAGCTTACTTGGTACTTTAAACTGTCTATAACAACCATAACCAATTGTCTGTAAAATCTGTGTTCAAAGCTTCTATTTTATCTTGAATTCTAAATGTAGCTCTAAGGAATAGATCTGCAAGTGAAATTAGTTGTCTGTAAAGACCGCAGAAGATAGAGGTGGTGAAATAAAATTGATAAGATTTCCCTTGTTAGATGGCAAGATAGAAGCATAAGCACTCTTAAGAAATTGTGAAATGATTAGACAGTGTCCATTCTGCTCAGTGATCCCCTTTAGCGCTTGCAAAGCTGATTAATTTGATTAAAATAAACTGGGCTTGCATTGACCCTGCAGTTACAAAGCATGGCAGACCGCCTGTCATTTGTGAGCATGCAGATGTCTCTCTGGGATGGCAAGCAGCTGACTTTTATCTAATTGTCAGGTTGTGAGCTGTCCTACTAGCAGGAGAGTCAGATTTATTGTTTGGAGATGAGGTTAAGGTTTTGCTTTTAATATAGAAGAATTTATTATATGATTACTTTTCTCATTGATTTTTCTTTCAGTGGGGTGGTAAATTAATCAAAATATCCTGCTTCAGAAGACAGAGTATTGGTGACATTCTGCTTGTGTGTGTTTTTAGACGACAAAGGAACGCGTCCTTTGGATGTGCCCTTTCCATCCGCCCATCCAACTTTACTTTGTTATCCGCAATCCCACTCGATCCCATGACTTTGGTGTATCCAAGATCAAGATTTGGAATTACAGCACAACAGCTAGTGTAAGTAGTCTTTTTCTCACCTCCTCTGCATGCGTGCTCTCCTTGTTCTATACAAACCTCAGTTTGATCTTCACTCTGAAGTATGAAATAAAAGTGGGTGATATTTTCTGATAAAATACAGAGCTCGGGGGGGCCCATGTCTACTGTAGATTTCTGCTTCTGTTGTTGATTGTAAGAGGTAGAAGTGTAATGCTAACATTTTCATAGCATTTATGTACGTATTGCAAGCCTAATAAAGGGGTTGCATCTTCTGTCAGGTAGTCTTTTACTGTGGTGAGAAATAGAGAAGGTGAGTGCATTTTAGTGTTCAGCATATGGAGTTGTTTTATCACAATATAGGAAAAAAAATCCTTGATTTCTTGTCTATATAGGTATAAATAGGCTGAATGTTGATCAATTCTGGTTTTATTATTTATTTAAAGAGTGTACTAACTACATGTACATAAAATAACTAGTAATCTAGTGTTACTACAGAGACATCTGATGGCAGATGGTCTCCTGTTTGTGTTTGAATGTTGCCATGGAAATTATTCTTGTTTGTGTGCTGCAACGTTGAGGAAAAAAATCCCAGGTACTGGATCAAAGAGGATTTGCTGCTCTGGATTATCAATAAGAGGCTTTATCTCTCTGGTTTTCTTCTCATCTGTGTTCTTATATAAGCATATATGGTAACTTATACATACAGAAATGTGGAATGAACAGCTTAAGGAAGTTTAAGTTTACTATACCATGATGTGTATTCATTTTCTGGAGTTGTAATAGATTTTTTCTATTTAAACATGGGCCACAGAATGTTCCATTTCAGTTAGAGGGTGTGAAAGGAATTGCAGATTTTGGAGGTAAGAGTATGAATTTGGTACTGAGCCTATTGAGCGTAATATGGGAAATAGGCATGGACAGATTTGCAAGTTGCAAGGCAATGATTTTTTTAATAAACCTCTATAAAACAAATAGTAAAATCCATTAGGAGCATACCCCACAGATTTCAGTAGCAATCCTGCAATACACACGGAGTAAACATGTTTCATTCGTATGTGAAAGAATAATACCAAGCAGTTCTGCCTAAATCCGTAACTTTCCATGAGGAAATTTTGTCTGAGAAGTAATAAAAACTAAAGCATGATTAGATACATTTTATTCCTGCTAATGTAAATCTAGAGCTGTATTTTGTGCTTCTTTTGGGTACTCGTTCTAGTCACCCTTCCCTCAAAAGCCACGTAAGTGAGAGGTGCCCATGTACTTCTTCAAACAATGGGTGGAAGAAGAATTCAGGCCAGTATTGTTGAAAATATCTGAGCTTTAGATTTTGGATTGGAAAGTAGAAAACAGTATGTCTGAAGCTGTAAGAGCCAGATGACATTGACATTGATTTAGTGCATTCCAAAGCAAGTCTCAGGGAATGCTTCACCTTGCATCCTTCATTTACTTCCCTTGAAGTCTGTGGAAAACAAGGACAATTTTAATCTGCAGGAGCAGGACAAAAGTAAGGGCAAACCATTTTATTTATTTATTTATTTATTTTTAGAGGTTTCTCCCCAAGTTTATTTGAAATATTGGGGCGTTACATAAATGTGTGCTGTGGCCTTGAAATTAAATTTACCTTATGCTATTAAACCTCTTTTCCTGAGAGCTGCCATAGTGCCTGTGGTATGTATGTCTTCATAATCTGTGTATGGAATTAATACTTAAACGCAGGAATATTTTAGTTGCTCTCCAGCTGGATAATTTTACCTTTCAAGTGCTTGTTTGTATTTCATATCCATTCTCCTGAGTTGGAGATCTTTTTACCCAAGTCCTTGCACAGAAAATGCATCCCTGTCCAGTTTTACAGTTCTTGCCTAATCTGGAGCTTTGTTCCAGTAGAGTTAAGTTTATAATTTTTGATTTATTTCCTATTGCTCCTTCTTTTCCTTTTTTACTTTGAAAAGTCAGGCAGAGGCAATGTTCTGTGTCTGGGTGTAATTCACAGAAAAGCCTCTTGAGTTTTAAGCTCTGTCCTTCATGCACAAATGTAACTGGTGCATCCAGGAATACCCCCCCTGTTGCTTCATTGGGAAAGCATTACCCCAGCAGAGGCACCCTGTGAGGGCTGAAGATGCAAGCTGGGAAGGAATGTCAAAAAGAATCTTAAAACTATTTTCACCAAATCTCTTATTTTTCTCTCTGATCATATCTACTTGCTAGTTTGGAGACACTGTGTCGTTCTAGTAGTTCCGGAAGGAAAAAAGGCTTCCTCAGATGAAGTCTTAAGTGTTTGCAGGGTGGCTTTTTCATGAAATTACTTATTAATAATGGACTCCTCTTCCAGCACAAGGAGGTTATAGACTTTTGCATCAGTACTGGGGAAACCTAAGCGTTCTGTCAACCTTTCCCTTCGCATCTGATCACTAAGCAACTCGAAGCTCAGAAAGGGAGAACAGAGAGAATATTAATTCCAACTTCAAGTGAATAATAAAATAAGATTTTTAATGGGTGCCACAGAAAACAATCACATGGAGATTTACTGAGTGGCAGAGCTGTGTCTGACATAAAGGCCTTTTATTTATAAGGCTAGTTAAGTGTTTAAATAGGCTATGAAGGCATAAAGTTGTCTTATTTGAAAACTATTAAAAACAGATTTATTTGCGAAGGTATTGGTGATTTTACTTCCTTAAGTGCTAACAGGTGAATGAGAATTATAATATCCTTTCCAGCCTTGCATTTCTATAAGTCTTTGGTGGCTTTGATGTGAGTAACTATTCACCCTGTAGTATAGATGTGAAATAAGTGGTGGTTCTTAAAGATGTTGAAGCAAAATCTATCCACCTCAGGAATTACATCCTGATCAAAAATAATTATACTTAATCTAGGTGTCTTTAAACTTTTTAAATGTGTTTATTTCCTAGATGTCAGCCAGAATGATTCGCAGTAGTGTCTAGCAGCATGGTTGATCTTTTTAAATACATTCTTAAATATCCCACAGTAGTTTTCACTTATTTGAGCTTTTCATTTAAGAGGTGGTTATAGGCATGTTACTGATACAAGCTTTTTAGTGCTTTCATCTCTTGGTCACAGTTTCAGAACAGTGATATCTAATATTTGAACAGCTTATTTGAAATCTCCATACCTTTATTTTTCCAGGACCTTGATGTTGGAGCAAAGAAGGTGAAGTTATATGTTGATGAGAGACTTGTATTTGATGGTGAATTGGAAAGAGCCTGTGGAGATCTCGTTGCAGACCGTGGCACTACAATTGATCTTATAGAATGCAAGCAAGGTATAACATGTTCTTCAAATGAAGATGAAGAAGTAAATGAAACTGCAGTGAAGGATGAGGAAGTGGACCTGTGTTTTGAATGCTTACAGACAAACCATACATCAGTAAGCTTGAAATCTCTGCCAGAAGATCATCTTGAGGATAAGGTGAACTCAGTCAGCTTGACTAAGGAAAACTTATCCGGCTTAGAGGATGATCTAGAAGTGTTACCATCTCACGTTGGTATAAAAGATACGAAAGAAAGTGTGGTAGAAGTTATTGATCATGATCAGTCTGATGATGAACTTCCTTTGAGTGGGCAAATGGAAAAGCTAACAGGAAGAAAACTGTCTGATTCTGCAGGTGCAATTCCTTCTTGGTTACACTCATCTTCCCAACAAAAAGAGAATCCTCAAGATAGTTCTGGTAAGCAGAAGCCTCCCTGGCTTGCTTCAGAACATTGTTTAGACTTGAAATTTCAAACACACTTGGATGTAATTACAAAGAGTTTCCCTGATCTAACTAATGAAGATGCCAAATGTCACAGAAATGAGCTGGGAAGATTGAGTAGTAGAAATGCAAATGGAGATGTGAGATCGCAAATGCTGACCAGAAAGGACAGTGATGTTGGCTTGGATATTTCAGAGCAACTTTCTAACAAGCATGGCTGCACCTCAGAGTACCCAACAAGTGGAAGGAGAAGTGTAAGAAAGCAGGGATTAAACACCGTAAACCTTAGAAATGATTCAGTACTCAAAGGTAAGAGCTCATAGTAGCAACCTTAGTGTAAGGGCTGATATTTTTCTCATTTTGCAGAAGCACAAAATCACTTTGGTTGGAAGATGCTTCTTGTCATCGTCTTATCAAATCCCTTGCTTAAACAGTGAACTAAAACAGGTTATCCAGAACTGTGTTGGTGGTTCATTGTTTGACTGCCCTCACTGTAAAGGCACTTTCCTGTTCTAACATTGAGTTTCATGGTTTTTAATTTGTGTCCGTTGCCTCGTGTTCTGTCGCTGAAGAGAACCTGGCTCTATCATGTTCATTCACTCCCACCAGGTATTTAGACGCATCAATAAAATGCCTCCGAGTTTCCTCTGGGCTGAAGATTCCCAGCTCTCCCAGCATACTCTCACAGGAGAGGTGCTTTGATCCCTTAATCATCTTTGTGGCCCTGCTATGGACTTGTTCCATTAAGTTTGCTTGAAACTGCATGCAGTGCTTCCACTTTGGCATCACCAGTACTGAGTGGAGAAGAAAGATCAGCTTTTTTACTCACTGGTCATTTCTGGGTGTATAAACAGTGGGATTTCAGTTGTGTTATTTGCAGTATTCAGTTTTTCTCATTTGTACTCAGTGATGCTCAGCCTCTCACCTTGTTATACGCTGAACACGAAATGCTCATTTTCTGAAAAATTTGCACTTTGGGTTAGTGCTTTAAAATTATTTGGAGAAGATGAAGGACCAAATGTACAGTCTTGATATTCTGAAAATTGGCAGTCTTGCAGACTGCAGATGTTCACCGATTTAAATGAAAATCTGCAAAGTGATGAGGAAGAGCGTGACCTCAAGGTACTGAGTGACCTTAGAGTTTGTGTAGTTAGGTTTCTGTCTTTCTCAATGAGAATATATGCTGTCTACGGGAATTCGTACTATTGCTACTCCTTTCATTTCCTTTATCTGTGCATCTCTCTCCTTTTTTGTGTATGCAATACAGAAATCAGATACAGAGAGAACCAAGAATCCATTCAGATTGTGATCCAGTAGTCCAAAAATCTATCAACTTTGGGTATCATATGCTGTCTTGTTCTTGGGACTCTAGAAGCAGGATGTCTAGACAAGGCATGTTGAAAGAAGGTAAAATGTTTTGCTAGAAGCATGTCATGTTTTGCTATGAAAGCAAAACAGGTTATTTTTCTTTTAACTGAATTTCCAAAGAAAAAGCTGTAGCTTTCTGTTCAATTTTGCTCAGGTGTATACTTGAAGAGGGGGATTAAAAAAAAAAACACACTGATTTTTGTTGATGTTGTTATCAGTCTCAGTGTTTTAACCAAACTTTCGTTCCTGGATTCTCAGTTTCCTCTCTGTGACATGGGCAGGTATGCTATGTGTAGACTAATCCACGAGCCATGTAATGCAGCTCTATATTTGATAAACCTGATAGGTCTAAATCTCTCATTTCTACATATATGAAGCATAGAATTTAACAGAATCTGTAACAATACAGAATGAGAGATTTCCCTGCACTAAAAGCAAAAGATTTGTTCATATCACAAGATGGCACAGAAAGCCCCTCTCACTGTTACATTCTTACAACCTTTGTTTTGATGTGTGCCTAAATTAAGTGGGAAACTAATACTGAGGAACGATACAGTGACCTTGTAGCAGCTTGGCTTTTGACTTTTAAAATTCAAACTCTTTCTAGTTAATACTTGCTTTCATTACAGAAATTGTAAATAAATCCCACTCTAGTAATTTCTGTTGAGCTGTAAATATAGTGATAATTTAGGAGCTATGATGTCAACTATCATGATTCTTATTAGTGTCCTCTAATTTTGCCCAGAGCAGCTTTAGTTATCTATTACTTAGAACTCTTAGCAGGAAGAAAGTGACAGGAAAGCTCTCAGTATGTGGTTGTCACTGGGAAAAATCACATCTTGCAACTTTTGTTCTTCCTACAATAATGTGCAGGAAAAAGTCATTTTGAGAGAGCATTAACAGTGAGATGGCTTTACGTGTTTCCTTAAGAATGGTGAATTTAAACTTCTACAGGGCTGTGGGAACTTCAGTTTCCCAACAGAAGCATGCAACAGGGGGATTGCTACATGCCCCCATACTCAACATCACAGCTCTTCTTTGGTCATTGAATGAGGAATAATGAGAAAAATGGAAGTTAGAAATAGCACATAGAGGCACACTTGGCTTGAGTTACTGTTGCTATAAAAACATACATTTTTATCTTCTGAAACTGCTTCAGTGTGCAAAGCAGATGATAAAAGTATGTTGATAAAATTTGCGAATAACATAATTTGTGGTGTTATGAGTTGAGAGGATTGAACAACTGCACAGCAAGAGGAACTTGAGAACTGGAGTAATAAGAGTGGAATGTAGTGCAGAAGTACTGCTTGCAAGGGCATTTGGGGACTAATAGAGAATTAAGTTGTAAGCTGAGTAATCATCAATTGCAAATGATTGAGGAAAAGAAGGATCCTGGCTGAGTAGCTGATCACAGATTGACTATGAAGTGCTGGTGTGACGCAGGCATGATTATAGCGAGGCACTCGAAGGATGGATCAGCAGAGGCTTTTCTGCTAGTTAGGGAAATGTTAATATCTCGGCACAGGCACTTGTGAGACTTCAGTTGGAAAACTGCTGTTCTGATCATCCGTTTTCAGGAAAGTTGATTGCAAAGTGGAACAGAAGAGAGCATTTAAAATGATTTGGGAAATGAAGCGTGTGATTGCAGCATGGAAATATGATTGCTATTTTTAGCTGCAGGGAATAGGCATGAGATTAATACAACAGAGGAGAGAAGAGGAAAGATGTTGTTTTCAAGCTTGTGTTGCTCCCAAAATGTAGTTTACTGAAGTTCTGAGAGGAATTGCATGGCGTGTGTTGCTAGCAGAAGTAGGACATGAGATTTGGTGATTGAAGGCACTCATCCAAAGCTCACAGGGGAGATTCATGTTAATGGGATTGTTGTTTCTGGATTCCTTTGGATGGCATCCATCACACAATCAGGCATACAGAAGATTAGAGATGTGTCTAAACATCAGCAAATGGATATTCTTTATCAAAGTGGATGGCGGGAGTACTGTGACTCCAATAAAAGCAGTATATTTTAGGTGCCAAAAGGAATGCCAGACCCTCTGAACGTTCAGCTATTGACCTCTGTTTTCTTTTCAGAACTTCTCTTTTGCTGGTGCTGCTCTTTAATATAGCCAGCAAACTTGTTAACCTCCCATTGAAAATCACTCCAATTCAACTCTTGTGGAAGCTGTAATCTCTGCAGTGCTTGGAGTGCTTAAAATAAATAAAAATTTTAAAAAAAAATCAGAGCCAGGAAAAGCCAATGGGTATTGAATTCTATACTTCCCTATTCTGAAATTGTCAAGCTTTGCTATTTAAAGTGGTGAAGAAATATATAGTATCTTCTTTTGCATTCTGAGAATCTGAGAAGTACTGTTTGTGATCACCCACCCCAGGAGTGGATTTACAGACACAGATTTCAACAACAAAGTGATTTGCAAATGACTACTTTTCTCTGAAATCACTCTCTGAAATTTGCTTCCTATTTGTATTTCACTTGTGAAATGGGGGAGAGTGGCCAGGTTGGTCTCCAGACTTTCATGCTTATGCATATGGAATACAATACTCTTTCAGGTAGTTTCCCATCTGCTTTAGAGTTCTTATTTTTATCTCAGTCGTCCCCTGTGCAATGATTATTGGCCATAGACAGATTAGGAACATTGCCTCTTTCCCTGTGATTCCAAAAACAAAGTTAAAAATTAGCCTTAAAAAGTCTTTTGGGAAAACATTATTTTGCATTTTATTACAATTGGCATTTATTCTTGAAAACCATTTGTTTGACTGCACACTCAAGGACGTTGTACAGAACTGAAATCTAGCCCGTGGGCCTGTAATTGTTCAGTACTGCATTTGCTTTTCTTCATTTATTTGGAAAAAAAAAAAAAAAAAGACAACTTTATTGAAAATCATAATTATCTGCTCTTAATTGTGCTGAGATGGAAATTAAGCAGCCCCCTGGTGGGGTCACGAGGAGAGCACTGCCCCTACACAGCTTCTCTGTGCTGCCCCCACTGCATTCCCATGAGATCCATGGTTATCCCCCCTCTGCATCTTACTGTTGTTGAAGTGAGAAAAGCATTTGGGTCCTACATGTGTAGAATGCAGCGCTCGCCTCATCCTTGCTGAATGCTGAACCTACTTCTTTTCTCCCCACCTTTCTTCTTGTGCACCTGGCTGAGATACTTTCCCTTTTGCTGATTAATTATTTGTATTTGTTTTGAGCGCTGTCAGTGCAGCAGTTCTCCTTAGACCACCTGAGCACTCTGTATCTTCCTTTCGCCAGATGTGAGAATTGGACCAAACTGTCCTGCCTCTCCCACAGCCTCTTGTGTGTTCAGAATAGAGTGGCAGTATTTTTCTGTACCTAGCAGAAGTAGAGCAAATGCAGTGCATTTGTTTCATAGTCTTTTCTGTTTCTCATCCTTCTTTCTTACATTGTTCTTCCCCATCTCTCCTCTTCCTAATTCCTGTCCTTACCTTTCCTCCATTGAGCTCTTTCCTTCTTCGTCTTTCTCTTGTATTTTAAATAGTGCTCAGCAGTGAGGATTGCTAATACAGGTGTAATGCTTGGGTGGCTGAGATGCAGGAAACCTGTATGGAAGACATCTCCTATGCAGGATAGTGGCAGCAGAAACTGCAGTTGAAGATAGACTATAGAAGATGGTGGCAACAGCTGAAGAGAAAAGGGCCTGCAGTTGTGTACACCTGATGCTAAATGTATAGAAGTTACCATGCTAAGTTCAAGCAGTATTTATGCTTTCTTTCATCAGGCCTGCTAAAAACAATCTTTAGGTTTGTATCTCTCCAACCATCATTCTGAGGGTTTCTCAAATGCATTTTTAGGTTTGAATATCAATGCTGCTATGGAACCCACTGTACCTAAGGTGTTGGATTGATATTTTTTAAGGTTACATGAAAGCGTTACACATGTAGGAATTCTGATTTCTGTCAACGTAAAAGCTTGCATCTGCAGCAGAGCAGAGGAGTTGTATGAATAATTTTCTGTTTTTCATTGTGCTTCTCTGACCCCTTTCTGGTGGTCCATCCCCTCCGTGGAATGGACTTTCTTTTCTTATTTCCTCCTATTTTGCTGAAAAAGGAAGCACTGGATTTTCTCAGTAATGCTTTAGGAACTTAAACAGTTTAGCTCCAACTGTTTGACAGACCTCCTGCAGAAATGCAGACAGATGGTACATTTTGATACCCAATGAGTATCTCTGGGACTTTTTTCCAGGGGTCTTGCTCAAGGTCTTAAATTATGAGAATTGCATAAACATGAATTTCTTTAAGTATTAAGTCAAGAATTGCCAGTCTAAAACTGTAGTTTTGTTTATTGTTTATTGTTGCTTTTTAATATTAACGTTATTATTTTTCATTATGTCTAAATGGAAAGGGAAATTGTGACATTATAGCCTTTATAACAGAGGGGCAATATAAAAGTGCTCATATAACAGAATTTCATAGTCAGGGGAACACAAATGTGACCTGCATAGTCCTGGAACATCTACCGTTCCATATTCTTGGAACATCTACTGTAGTGGTTTGCTTCCAGTTGTGTCAGTATGTTAAATGCATACGTAATGTTGTTTTCAGATGAGGACTTGTCTATCAAGGAAGTTGGCACATCTAGAGCAGAGTGGCACACTGAACAAGAACACACTCTGCAGGAGTCCTGGAACTCATTGGTGAAGTTTAATTACTCCCATCGTGGCCGAATCTCTAACCTGGATTTTCAGGGGGATATCTTCGATGAGTTTCTCCATCAGCAGAAAATCAACCGGCTGGGAGAATATCATCTGATGAGAAAAGAGGGAGTACAAGCACTACCAAAAAAGAGAGAAGAAAATTCTGTGGAGGCACATGATGGAAATGATTTTAAAATACCCGTCTTACCTTATGGGCAGCACTTAGTAATAGACATTCGAACAACGTGGGGAGACAGACATTATGTTGGTCTTAATGGAATTGAAGTTTTCAGTTCTAAAGGAGAGCCTGTTCAGATTTCAAAAATAACAGCTGAACCACCTGATATAAATATTTTACCAGCTTATGGCAAAGATCCCAGAGTAATAACCAATCTAATTGATGGGGTAAATCTGACACAGGATGATATGCATCTCTGGCTAGCACCGTTTACCCCTGGAAAACCTCACTTTATCTTTATTGACTTTGTGAATCCCTGTCAAGTAGCTATGATTAGGATTTGGAATTATAATAAATCTCGCATACACTCTTTTAGGGGTGTGAAAGACATTATAATGATGTTAGATGAACAATGCATCTTTAAAGGAGAAATTGCTAAGGCTTCGGGAACCTTGTCTGGAGGTATGCTGTAATTTCTTTCTTACTTTGTGGAAGCAGCAGCACAATATAAACAAATACATTTATCTTGTTTGTTATCTCTTTACTCTTCAATGCAGATTGGGGATTTTATATAGTACTTAATCCTTTTAATTTCAAAATGTAATGCAAAACTATCTAAGGCATTCTCTAATGATGTTGTGAATTTTAGTAGCATATAGAGCTAATTTTTATTCATAATGATGTCTTAAGATCGTATTTCAGTAACCTCATATAGTCACTAGATATTTGTAAGTTGCAGGTTTTTTAGTTTTCACAGATAAGATATTTTGGAAAAAGTGATAAGCTTTTTTTCTTATCTTCAAGGTTCGTCTGCTGGGCAATTAAGGTTGAAATTGAACATAACTGTCTCGGCAGTCAGTTCCTATTCCCCATATATTATCTTTAACCACCGCTGTAGATTAAATGTGAAGGACTGAATAGCATTTTTTAGTACTCTAAATATTCTTCTACATAGCTTCTCAACTTAATTCCATATGTTGCCTTCAGCTCCAGAGCACTTTGGGGATACAATACTGTTCAGTACTGATGATGATATTCTTGAAGCTATATACTGTTATGATGAGACATATGATGGAGAAATGGAGAATGCCAGCTCTCTGAGGTATGAAGAAGAGCTAAAGAGGCCAACAACAGCTGATGGGGATGGAGATGAAAGACCTTTTACGCAAGCAGGGTTAAGAACAGAGGATCAACAGGTAGGGATCTCTGCATTCAGTACTCTTATAAATGTGTCTTTCTAAAATATGAGGTAGAAATAGGAGGCGCTGATTTCTGTGGTGCTGTAAAACTCTGTAGACAGACTAATAAAGCTATCTGTGTTTTGAAGTTATTTTTTTTTTCATCAGCTTAATAATTCATGGGAGTTTTTTTAAGGCCAGAAGTTCTTCCACAGTTTGCTTTCTCTGGTTAATGAGGCTACCAGGAAGGCTTTAAGGGATCATACATTTCTTTTTTTTTTCTTTACTTACTTGAGCAGAGAGTACAGGGTTGTGTTTTTGTTTTTTTTTTTTTTTTGTCTGGGTACTCCTGAAGATTTATACCACTGTCAATGATTTTTACCTTACATTTATTCATGTAATGAGTAGTTCTGTTCCCTGTCACTCCAAATGTTGTTTTCCCCTATTTTCCACACAGTATGCGCTTGCTTGTTTCTTTCTCCTTGAATGAAATAGCTGAGGTGGGATAGGATCTAGCATAATGTCATTTTATATCTTCACAAGTTCTCCTTTATTTTTTCCTCTTTTCTTTTCTAACTAGCAGCTTCACAAATCTATATCCCTTTTGCAGCATTAAGGTGTTCCTTTCTATTCCATAGAGTGGATATTTTACTGCTGGAGGAGGGCTGTATTTTCATGCACTGCAGTCTTGCTTCACTTCATCCTAATGGCCCAGTGACTGAGCAACAGTCCTGCTTGATTTTCAGCTTAAAGTGGTATGGTGTAGTCTTCAAACTGCTTTCTATCTTCTTGCAATGTTGATGAGCACCTGCTCTTTCTTCAATGAGGACATCTTTTTTCAGTGGGACACTCTTGCACAACTGTGAGGAGATGCAAAACTGAATCAAAATTCCAGCTGGTTCAGTTAAAGTACTCCTAACACAAGGTTCCTAACAAGCCTTGTGCTGTTTTCAGGCCTGGGTGGTCTATCTTGACCTATTCTGTTGACTTACACGACATAGGGAAATGCTCTGGTCTTGCTGTCTCAAGTCAGAGACTCTAACCCTTTGACTCCTCTAGGTAATAGTGGTGAGTTAATCGTGACACCATTAACTGTTTCCATCTTCACTTGCATCACCTTAAACTGTTTGGATGCTTTGTGTAATGCAGGGTTTCACCAACACAAATTGAGGTTCACCTTTCACTTATTGATCACTTGTTCATTGCTAGCATTCAGCCAGGGCCTCTTTCATTGCAGAAGTTCAGACATGGACTCCCTGATCCTTACTTAGATTCTGCTTCTCTTTTCACTGTTCATCTGTGATGCTTTTCTTACTCCTTTTTTAACTCTGAAATGTGCTGAATCAGCAGTGGAATAGCAATAGCTATTCCAAATGAACCTCTGATCCCTCTGTCATTCAGTATATGCTGGGACCATCAAGATTTTCTGGATGTGTATGCTATCAGAATGATATGAATCTAGATGATTTGTCTTCCCCAGCATAACATCATCATTCAAGCTAGTATTGGGTTTGAGCAGTCTCTGCCTGTTGATCATTAACCCTTTCCAGCTGTTACATCTTCAGTGGATGAGAAAGTGTATTTATTGCACTGACGTTCAGCTCTTAGCAAGGCATCTTACATTATTGTCAGTATTATCTATGGTTATCTATCTTTTATCTCCTTAACCATGATTTCATTTAAGGTAACCATTTCAGAATGGTCATGTTTAGGAGCTTGGTAATGATTTCTACTTTTTATTTCTTATCCATTAACTCCCATACAGTGATGATATTTTGTTCTACTGTAAGGATCTGAGAACATAAGTAGGTCAGTGTTCACAAGGAGTGTTGAAATAGTAGAAAATTAGGCTAAATCTGAAAGAAAAGATAGAGGGTAGTAATGGAATGGAGGGAACTGAGTGACTAAGAAATAAGGAATAGGGAGAAAAGAGCTGATAAGCCACTTTTTATGGTCTGCAAGAGAAGACTCAATAAAACCAGTACCTTTACTAAGTCCACAGATTTTGATATTCAGTAGAGTTTTAAATAGTAATTACCAGATTGGTCTTGAAAAGTTGCTCTGAGAAAAAAGCATGAGGCCTCAAAGATGGAGTCAGTGTTCTATGACGTTACCCTCAGTAACAGAGTTGTTTTCTGTCTTTCCGTCTTGTGTGGATTGTGTGTTGCAGGATGTGGTTTTCTTGGAGAGACTGAAACTGTGTGATGGCACTCTGTGAGGGCTTAACTTCCATCTGCAATTCCATCTGCAATTCTTGTCTCTGTGGCACCTTTGCAGCGTATTGGCAATGCTTTGTGTCATTTGCTAATGGCAGTCTGCAGGTACGAAAGTGCCTTAATTTCAGACTTTCCAGGAAGAATCAGCCCACATTAGGGAGTCTCCTATTTAACATTCCCGTATGCACTAGCTAAAAATCCCACGTGAACAAAGTATATTGCATAGGCAATATGTCTCTAAAATACATATCATCTGCATATTCATTGCGCATCTCTTTGTTTTTTAGGTGCAAAAGCAGGCAGTCCTGCTGGATTCTCTCTCTGCTTGTACACCCAAGGAACCAGGAATATTTACTGGAAAGTGTAAGTTTATTCTCTGTCACTTTCTGTGTATGCTGCTTCCTACCCCTGCTAATGTTATCAAGGAGGATCTGATTTGTCATTTGTGCAGACCTTTGTGGCAGATGTCAGGTCTGGAATAAAGAAGAGTAATTGAGTATTTAAGGCAGAAGTTTGTTGTGTTTTTTTTGTTTTGTTTTGTTTTGTTTTTTACTGTGGAATTTAGAACACTATGTTGTAACAGATGGCATTTAATCTCAGAAAATAACACTAGCCATTTGCTTAGTCCTTGAATGGGATTTGTGGTAGCTGTGTCCATTACCAAGTAATTCTCTTCCAATCCTACATATTTATTTAGACTGATTTTCTCAGATGAGATTGACAATAGAAAACCTAGAGAGAAACTAGACCAGAATGTTGCATCTGTACTGAAAGCACTTGGTTTGTTGATACTGCTCAAAAAACTGCCACCCTTTCTGGGACTTCAGGTTATTTTCAAGAGAGCTTCTGAATGGCCCAGAAGTACCAATTCCTGCTCCTTTGACCCAGCAGAGGGGAAATTGGCTTGTTGGGCATGGTGCATATAAAGCATTTGGCAACCTGTGATGTACTCTGTGTAAATATACACAATACAGTTATTCAGCCATGTATCTATGGACTATTCCTATAATCTATGAAGTTCATCCATAGCTTATAGATGGATATACATGTTTGTCATCAGTTTACATTTTTGTGAACTTCAGATGCCTTTCCCTCCTTCCGTTTTTCAAAGTGGGTGAAGCAGATAGTGAGGATGCAATTCAGAGCTCAGCAGATGCAGTCTCTCATACTGACAAGATATTGTTAACTAGCTGATTGGGCTAACTTGTCTCTACCAAACAAAGAAATCCTGATTCCCACTGAGTCCCTGCAGAGAAAGAGATGGAGAAGGTCCCAGCTGTGGTAAAAGAGTAGCTTCCCTTTTACCCTGAGGGCAATCTGACACAGGGATTGACAGAGTTGTTGAGATCTGAGGGCCTGGAGGCATTCATACCTCCACTGAGTGGCTCCTGGGAGACCTGATCTAATAGGCAGGAGTTAGATCTCCAGAGGTCCCTTCCATTCTGCATTAGCTTATGTAGAATTTGCCTATGTGCTGTTCAGAATGTGAATACTAACCTTGTGTGGATAGCTGCTAGATCCTATCTTTTCCCAGTCTGTTGGGAAAAAAAAAAAAAAAAGTATATATACCTATATATTTTTGCCTGAGAACTGTTGCATATTTCTATAATAAGAAATGGCCTCAGGAATAGTAGCTAATATCACTGTAGCCATGGTTCTAAGCTTGTCAGTTAATAGAACTCTTTACTTCTTAGCGTCCTTGCAAATATGAAGAGATCTCAACACCCGAGTGAATTTATGTGTACTTAGTCTCATGCAAATTGCTACTGCTATTTATAGGTAATTGGGCTGGATGGCTTAACAGCTCTAATGCTGTTTGTTTTACAGTGCATCATGACTATCGGTGCTTCATTAGACATTGTCCAACTTGATTCTCTCTGGGCTACATTTAATGTATGAAATGAAATATTTTAAATTTACAGTGGTGAATTTTTATGGAACCTGATTAGACTGGAATATTGCTTGTCGTATCTGTGTATGCTCTTTATATTTTTTGGAAAGCGTGAAACAGGTGGACCTGAAGACAATTTTATGTTGGTGCAGTATTTTCTTTTTAATTTCTGGAAATGCAGGGAAATCAACAGCGCTGTTTTTCAGTGGTGCTGTGCCATTAGGATGCTTCCACGGGTACAGTTTGGACATGAAGTTAGTGCATTCAGTGCAATAGTAAACCACATCTTCTTTCAGTGTATCTATGAATTGGTGCTATCTAAGCAGTCTACTCATGGGATTTATGAGAGACTGAATTTACATAAGTCCACACAGTCACCTAGATGGCAAAAGATAACAGATAGCCTTCAGACTAATAGGTCTTCTGCTTCTGCATAATCTCAAAATCTGTCATGTCTCTACTTAAATGTGTTATTGAATTACTGTCGCTCTGCAATCTGAGTAATGAGACACTTGATAACATGGTTGATTGGAAGCAGTATAGTTACAAGTGAACAAGATGTCAGCAGCCCACTAAAAGTCCAACACAGATTTACGACAGCTACTGCACTATTATGTTGGGGGTAGGCAAGCAAACCAGAACTATCCAAAAGCAGGATATACAAATATCCTTTAAACAAATAACACGTGGTGCTAATTAATGGGAACTGCACTTATATAATGTATATATGGAGTATAGAATAAATATTTAGCTCAATAGAAGTTGTATTATAGAAAGTAATGATTGGACAATACAGAGTACAGAATGGAAGGAGTTTTGGCTTAAATTCAAACTGTTGGCAAGTAGGCAGCCATGAATGTATGATAATCTTGATCACTAGAAAACAGTGATGCACGTATTATCTACCACACTCTACTTAGCTTTATTTAGGATAGTGAGGTCATGTGGCTGGCCAGTGCTAATTGAGTCTGATCTTTGAATGAAGTGGGTTCAGAGGCAGACTATGAGCTGTTATTTGTGCCAGAGTATGAGCAGTTGGACTTAGTGCATTAAAGGGTCATAGAGTGGAGAGTAAGTAGATCCAATAGCGCTGCTAATGGCAGTGACAGACCCCACTCAGAGCAAATTGCTAGGTTTCTGGCTCGCTTAGGAGAGATAAGAGAAGCCTTCTGCCCCCAACAATGTAGGTAAATGCTACAGCATTTCACTGTGCTTTTATCCATGTTGTTGTGAGTGCTCTGTATTAACCCATGGCACAAAGAGCAGCTTTTGAAGTGTTTGAGATGTGGGTTTGTAAGTAGCAGCGTTCATTGTTGTTCTGCTTTTTGGTTTCATTTTTTTATCTGCTTTGTACCAGTGAAATTGATGCTGATTACCCTCTTTTGGAGGCTTGGGCCCATGCTTTAAACTAGTATGCATGTAGGTATGTGTGTATATTGTATGTATATTCTTTTACATAGGCTTGCAACTGAATTTTACCGTGACTTGGGGAGATCCTCATTACCTTGGACTGACTGGACTGGAAGTGATAGGAAAGAATGGCCAAGCATTAAAAATAAGTACGGAACAGATTTCTGCTTCACCCCAAGACTTAAATGATCTTCCAGAGTATACAGGAGATTCTAGAACATTAGAAAAGTAAGTAGTGAAAGGGGGAGAATAAGTAGAATAACAAGTAATTTCTTCAGATGTTTTTTGTGTGTGTGTTCTGTAGCATCTGTCTGTGCATATGGAGTAATGTTTACGCAGCATTTCTGGATAATTGCAAGGAAAACTTTCAAGTTAGCAGAGAGTAAGAATATATGAGGGAATTGCAAGTGTAGGTGCTGCTCTCAAATTCTGCAGCTTTTGTTTTTATAATTTTAATGAAGTCTTTGCTTCCCCAAATTATGTATGTACATAATGTACAGAAAATCTCTCCTGTAGGCATCAAGATCAAAGAAATCTTCCCATGAGATCCCCCATGATGAAAAGGCTCTGGTGGTGTAGTCTGGAGAGGCTTTGATGGACCCAGATGCAAAGAATTCATTTAACTTTTCATTCGGTGTCTTCTCTGGTGCACCTTTTAAGCCTAGTCATCTGTTGATCCTACAGAATTTCTGGCAAGCTTTTTGCTCCTGATATGTTTGATGGAATTTTATTTATGGTGCCTTTTGCTTGCTAGCCTACATATTCTTTCTTGGCATGTGCATATACATTTAGCCGTCCAGAGTTTATGATCCTATTGATTTAGTTCGTTTGATCATGACTTCTGGTGAAAGATGATTTGTAATAACTTTCTTTATCCTGCCACTAAGCTGGGCTGGCTTCTATTTTGATTTTATTTAATTTTTTTTTTTAAGTCCTTGCTTTTTCTTTTATCTGTCTTAGAGAGATAAATTTGTTCTATGTTTCAAATGCAACATCCATAATATCCTGTCTGATATATGTAATGATTTTATTTTGTTGCTTTCTTGCCCTTTTTTTTTTTTTTTTTTTTTTTGACAGCCTTCATTTTTACTTGAGAGCCTTTTTGAGCATAAGACAAAGGGTCTTAATTTTTTTTTATTTTTTTTTTTGGCTTTTGATATTTCTGTAAGCATGTTGAGCACTTCAGTGCTCTTCAACTTAGCATTTGGAATGAGTCCTGTGTAGTATTGACTGTTCAGGACTAAGTCAAGTTCTGTCTCTTTCTTATGGGCTCTAATCAATTCCTCTCTGAAAGACTCATTATTCATATCTATTTCTTGAAGAAACTGCCAAATCTGGTACTCGTTCTTCTATTACGCTTTAAAACAGTATGCACATAGGGCAGTGTACAAAAGTAATTACAGTAGGGCAATTGAGTCGTCTTCTCCTTAGCTCTTTGTATATCATACTTTCTGGTAAAAGTCAGGATTCCAAAATGGGGAAATAATGGAATTGAACTTACCTAGTCAGTCTGAGGTGTGCTGTTATGAGAAGATGTTGTCATATTGTAGAATGGTGGGAAAAAGGGCTGTTCCTTAATGAGCCTAATGAGAGCTGATAAAGGATGTGAACAAACTCTGCTCCATCTCTTCAGATACCATCTCAGTCATGCTCAGTGTAGAAATATGCTGCTGACTGCCAGATAAACTAGTTTAGGCATGGACCTCTATTAATAAGTTATAAAATGTCTGGGACTGAGAATTTTGCCTTTAGTAATTTTGGTGCAGAGGTACCAAATGAGCTTTTCTCTGCTTGTTTGCTCAGGGAAGAAAACCAAAGGATTTTTCTGTTTTTCTTCAAACAGAGCCAACTAAAGGAAATGTTGTTCCCCCCAGCCACTCCATCTTTAATTCAGCAGTTCTGTATTACTTTTTATGTTTAATGTGCTTTTTAGTTGCATGCACATAGGTACAATAATGGAATTGGTAAGGGGAAATAAGAGGAAAATTGACACCTAGTAAAACACCTGTTTTCATGAGAGGAGCAGGCTTTTCCTTTCTGTCACTAATGGATTTTTCTCCTTGTAGGTTAATAGATGGGACTAATATTACAGCTGAGGATGACCATATGTGGCTCATTCCTTTCTCTTTCGGAGAAAATCATCTACTCACAATCCATTTTGATAAAAGTGAAAGTATTGCAGGGCTTCGTTTCTGGAACTATAATAAATCTCCAGAGGATACCTATAGAGGGGTAAGTAAAAGAAAAGGAGCACTGCCAGCAAAAATATACAGCGGCGCATTGGAAAATTGGTACTGTGATAAATGAATATAGCTGCCTTAATGGAACACCATAAATCTTTCTAGATTGTCTGAGTCTGAGTTTTGTGGCAGGTATAATGCATTTCTGTCTCTGCAAACAGCAAATATTGAAAAAAAGCCAGAGACAGTTTAAAGAAAACTTCACAGATGATTTTTCTAAGAGACACATAGTAGCACATATTACTTTCAAGATATATGATTCCAAAGTGGTATCCTCTCGCTATCCGGTATTTAAGTCTCCCACATGATTCTTTATTTCCTGCAGCACGAGGAATGATAGAACAGGGGGCACTTCAACAGCAATTTGGTGTAGATAAGTTGAAGAAAGCAGTATCTGTGTATAAACTTGTGTTTTTCTCTGACTATGGGGATCCTTTTGTTTTTGAGCATCTTGCTTTTCTGAAGTCTGCCACTTAAAATAAAATTAATATTTAGTAAATTGACTGTAAATGCTATTGAGCTATTTGCTTAATTGGTAGCATGTGGTAACATGATAAATAGAGATTTGGTAAGTATTTATAAAATTAGGAATGTGATGAAATGTCTTTCATTGTGCACAATGAAACCCCCAGACTATATCTCTGCATGCAGTGCAGTTTTCAAATTTGCTTTCATTTTTCAATTATGTACTGTGATAGAGTTTATGGTACCTGAAATCTGTGTACTTCCCAGGCAATCCAATGGAAAGCAGTAGGTGATGGCAACATTATACTTGGCTAACATGGATGAATTTACATGGATGAATGTTAGGCTCATCAATCAGTTATCAAGAAGCAAGAGTCTCTGGGACTCAACATTTGTTTTGGAAAATTGATATCTTCAAACAGTTTGGCTGATGTAGGTTAGATAAAATTGCACAGTGTACCTCCTCACTTATTTTCCAATTTGCTTTTTTTAAATTTTCTTAGTAGATAAGAAAATTGTTCCTGTGTGTGAAACTACAGAGAGACAATACAAAAAAATTTAGGAAGTTTCTAGAATGATCCAGGCCTCCAACTTTAATCCATAAGACTGTGCAAGGGGTTTTTCAGCTGGAGAAGTCTGTGAGGTGACCTGATAGCAGCCTTTCAGTATCTACAGGGGAGCTGCAAGGAAGAAGAAGACAGACTCTTTAGCAGGTTCTGTGGTGATAGAATAAGGGGATATGGTTTCAAGCCCGAGGAGGATAGATTTATTTTGAATGTAAGGGAAATATATTTCACAGTGAGGTTGGTAAGGCAGTGTAGCAGGTTGCCCAGTGATGTGGCTGATGCCCTGTCCCTGGAGATTTCCAAGGTGAGGCTGGATCAGGCCCTGAACAACCCGATCTAGTTGTGCTGTCCCTGTTCACTGCTGGGGAGTTGAACTAGATCGCCTGCAGAGGTCCCTTGCAACTCTGAGGATTCTATGATTTTAGATAGTAATAAATATTGGGGAACTACTTTTCTGTGTAAAGTTACCTTCTACAAATGAATGTTCCCTCTCTGAAGTTTAGCCTTGGCCTCTTTTAGTTCAAGCACGGGGTGTTGCAAAATGTTGAAGACTGGACAAAGACTCACAGAGGTTCGGAGGGTGACTTCTTTCATTTTAGCTACAACTCCTCTAGAGGCTTCAACATTTGACATCTCATTTTTGTAATACAATGCAGTAACCCAACGTGTTTGACTTAAGGGAGGGTTCAGGAGCATTATCATATAAACATACCCCTGGGTAATCATGTTTTTTAGTAATGTTGCTCAGTTAATTTGTATGATTGGGCTTAAAGGGCTTTCTCCCCTTTATCTCCTTGAGAGTGATATGGCACTGGGGCAGTATGCAGTGATGGGATGAGTCAATTTGAGAGACCCACGACAACCTGATTTACCTTTGCAGGCCTCTCTTCTCTGAGCAGGAGTCATGACTGGAGACATGCAGAAGTCCCTTCTGATTTAAATCTTACTGTGATTCTGTGTGCATAATGTAATACGAAGAGCAGCCTATGTAGTGATGGGGAATACTTTGCTTTCCCATTATAAGAGCAGGTCTTCCCAAGGCAGAACAGGGGGGAGAAGTGTTTGTACATGAATTGTCAAACAAAATCAAGTTTCTGAGAGTGTGTTTGTGTCTGAGCTATTAAAAGGGCTAAAAGATTTCAAGGATTTGGCTATTTAACATGCAATTTGGTCTTTGGAGACAAACCTAGGCAAGAAGAAAGGTGTATTTTTACAGTTTATTTTGCAAGGTAGCAAAGGAGGTGAGTCTGACAAAGTAAGTGTGCAGGCAGCTCACCTCTAAGTCCCCCAGTGAAGTGCCATTAAAATACTGTAACAGATGAATCCTGTAAAAGAACGAATAAAATAACATACTTGAAAAACTGAGGATGCAGGATATCTGCTGGGCCACAGTTAAGAGGCTTTAGACCATAGAGCTGGGGTATCATGGCATCTGTTTTTCAAAGCATTGCTGTTCTTCCAAGAAACGGTCCCTGGACATGAGATAGAATGATTTGCTAGGCAGCTGTAGACTGGTGGATTCTATTCACAGCTTTAGAATGAAAGGGTAATGGCAGTAAACTGTCAAAATGAAGGCTTGTATGCTATTTCCAGCTCTATGAAAAATTACCTTATGAAAGCTTTGTTATGTGATTTGTAAAATGCTATGTGTGATGGTTGAGTGCCTCCTCAGATGATGAAAATTACTTAGAAATGAGGGCTGTAAAGGGCACATAAATATAAGCAGCTCTGGTGTAATAGGTAAGATTTCATCTGTAAGTCTCCAGACTTCCCATTCAATACATGTTCTCTAAACTACAGTGTATTTCAGTGGATTTTTCATTTCCTCTCCCTAGTCTGGCAGCTTGATTCAGCTGGAAAGTACCATGCAGAAGAATTTCTTATACACAAAGTGTATTTCCTTTATTTTCTCCCAAGCTTATTAAGGATGAAACCTGCAATAGTTATTTCCCTCTGCTTGCTGCTTTCACTCCTAATTTATCTTCATGCTCTTTGGAAGTGAAGCAAGCACCTTGCACAGTCCAGTACCTCAAGTTTTCAAATTGAGAAATGCTTTTGTAAACAAACAAAATGCACAAAAAACGTCCAAACAAACAAAAACTTTCTGAAAAAGATTTACTTCTGGTTTGTTGCACTTGCAACTCACTGAAATGGTAATTGACAAAAAAAATAATGGCAAACTACAAAAATATGAAAGCTGCTGTGAGTATCAGGCTTTGTAGGAAACCTGAAGTGTTAAGTTGTTCTCAGATTGACATCTCAAAGTAAATATTGCTTATGTTTTAATAAAAATACTAATAACTGATCATGAGAACTACATATTTCCATACAAAACTATTCTCAAATAGTCATATATTCATCAGTAAGTATAAAATCTGAAGATGACAGAACTGAGTCACGTTACCTTTAGACTAAATTAAGTCTTTTCTGCTAGCTAAATGAATCTATTCTCATTCAGTCCATTAATCAGCAGACTGCAATCATAGGGCCAGTTATAAGGCTATCCTGTTCTATTTTCCAGGTATTATTCCTTCCTTAAGCAGTAATTAGTGACATATTCAGTGCAATACTTTTGATTAACAGGAGGCTGTATTTAACATACCTTAGGGCAAAATGCAGTGATAATTGTTGCTGCATGATGGAGTTATGTGACTGTGATCATGCACACAGCTCCAGATGGTGTTAATGGGGGAGGATGAAGGGGCCTGAACTCCTTCATCTTCTGATCCAGGTATGGCTGAATTATTTGGTTTAACCTTCAGAGTTTATATCAGATGTGCACGCATCTGTGACACAATTGTGGCTTGATCCTTTTTCGCCTGGTAGAGGTACCTTTTCTTTATTCATATGCCCTTAGGTTGTATACAGCACTGCTTGGTGGATGAGTGGGCAGGATCCTGGAAAAGTCCAAATGCTGCCTGCCACACAGATAAGTAGAATGGTGAAACAGGTTTTATACAAACGTGGTAGAGACAGAATAGGGCTTGCTCATGAGAGATCACTAGGTTATGTGATCTCTTCAGCCAGGGTTGAGCAGTCAGGGCTGATCTACCATTGCATTCAGGTGGATGATCAGCAACTAACCATCTCCTCAAATCACCTTTGCAACATATGCTGACTTAAAAGCTGAGTCTTAGTCTCTTGATATGTGTTCTCCTGCAGCCCACAGATTTTCAGTTTACTGAGGTCTCTGGAGGTGCAGTGAAGGAGCTCTTCCAATCATTTGTATTTTATTTTTTATCTTTCCTCCAAAATCCTAAGCTCTGCCACTTGCATCAATCTCGATAGGTAGTGTCAGCTGTGATGTATTGAACTGCACTGGGTTGCAGACTGGGTTCTGCTGCTCTAGGCTTCCTTTTGCCAAGGGATGTTACACTATAGAAGAAAGGAACAAATACTGCAAAATTACAGGAACAATCGTTTCAGTCTCTGAAGTGAATGCATTGCATTGGATTTATGTTATGGTTTTTCTTTCTTAAACAAGGCAAAGGTAGTCCACGTAATGCTGGATGGTCACAGCATCTCCCCACCAGAGGGCTTTCTTATCCGCAAGGGACCAGGCAACTGCCACTTTGACTTTGCCCAAGAAATTCTCTTCCTTGACTATCTGCAGCCCCAGCTAATGAACAGAGTACAGAGGAGGTACAGTAGCATATTTTTATTATCTGAACCACTCTTATTTGTTCAGTACTTGTATTCTCTTTTGAACCAAATCTGTATGAGACACCTGGATGAAATGGAATGTTTTATGTAGATCAAAAGACAATCTGCTACATAATCTGGAGGGGAAAGGTACATGTGATGGCTTTTTTTTTTTTTTTTCTTTTTTAAATTTGTTCTGTTCTTTCCTCAGTGAGCCAAGAGTACATAAGTAAACTACTTTGTCTTGGTTATTTTGGCAGGACTGGTTCAAAGAGAATGGAACAAGCTAGTATGGACTATGAAGCACCACTCATGCCATGTGGTTGTATCCTCCTCTGTTATTTTCTTAGTACATAACTGAGGTATTTGGTATAACGTCATCATGAATTCCAGTAGTTCTAAATACAACTTCCCATGCTATAAGAAATGAATGAGATGTGAAGAGTATGATGAGAAAGGCATTTGTTAAATATGACTTGAGAATAAATAAATGAAACAGAATATAGGAAGGTGTGACCTGTTGTCAGATGCTCTGGTACCACTTCTTCCCACCTTTTAGAATCCGTGAAAACTGGAGCTAGAAACCCATTAGCACAGTATCCTGCCAGCCTGTCAAAGCTAGTAATAATCTGTACTCTTGCATATCTTTGAATGTTCACGGTGCTGTTCTTTTGAAATTTGTTGCATTTTACATCTTTTTTAAGACTGTGTTGACCAGAACTGTGTAATATTTTCTTAATGTTTCTGGCTCTTTAATCTTATGTTTTCGTAAATAAGCACAGCCTTCTGTGGTAATACTTATTGTTGTGCCATCCATCTACCTGACAGCCCTCTTAAATCCATTAGGCTGTCCTGACCATGTTTGGAATCAATGAGATCTCAGCATTACGAAGTTCCTGACAGTTTCATGAAAATCAGTGTCTTTTCAGAGATAAAAATAGGTGCTCTACTAGAAAAACAAACGGCACGCGTTCTTATTATATTCTCTGCCATTCAGTTAAGGGAAATATTTTCTGGCTAGTTATCATTCATGTAATTCAAAACTGAGCAAAGGCATAATCAGAAGGTGTAGGAAGGTAATAAAGGCTCTGGATAGGAGCTGTGGTATTAATAGGTAGCAGAATAGGGAGGTAGGATGCCTGCTCATAAATAAATAAAAGATTATATGTTCTTCTGGCAGCTGAAGATGTAATACGAGCATACTTACATGTGAACATGTAGAGACTCTTGCCCAGTTGTTTCAACTGTAGGGCTTCACTTTTGTGTATGCTATCGGTAACAGAAATGACAAACTTCTTGTCTAATGTAGCTTATTCAGAGAATATCAGTATCAAATTTTCCTTAACAGCTCCTTCCTTCTTAGTTGTTTTCCAGTTTCAGCTTCTAACAAGCTGGGGCGATCCGTACTACATTGGTTTGACTGGTCTGGAGTTTTTTGATGAACGTGGAGACCAAATCCTACTAACTGAAAACAGTATCTTTTTGAATTTGATTCAGTGTTCATGGGTAACCAGTAGAGGGAACGCAGGACACACTTGCAAGATACATAGTAATCAGTTATTGAAGAGTTGCACTTCAGTTTTCTGTATCAGCTAAAATAAGTGTAAAAAGCATGGATGCTGTGTGAACTGTGTATCTCAAGGGATCCTCATTGTTTAATTAATAGAGATTACAGTGAAAAAACAAGCTCTTTTCTGAGTGGCATTTTTATTTATATTTTGTATGGTGCATGATGGAGAAGAAACATGTGGAACTTGATAAGTGTTAACAGAATTTTTGAAAGCAAGGGATCGTTTACTTAGCTTATATTATTCATGTCTTTACAGTACAATACAGTGCCAGGTAAAGATAATTCAGTAAGTGTGCAATAGACATCTGTATCTGCTCGTACAGCAGTGTCTCCTAGATGTCTCCTAGATATATCAGGATCCCAGAAAGCACATTTGTCCAAGTGCTGTACTGAATGTGATATTTCAGCTACCAAGTCTGAAGCAAGTTTTTCCTAAGCTGCAGAATCATCTCTGTGTCACTCCTTAAATTCTTTACAAGTACATACAGACTCTAGCCTCTAAGAAGGCAAAACAAGTGAGAGTTATTGTCCCTCAAACTGGATTGCTGGGGACTTAGAATTCTGAAGACAGTGCCATTCATCCCTATTTCTATACATGCCTTTAACATATATTTTTAAACATAAGCATTTCCTGGGGAAAAAAATCTTACCCTAGAAAGCCTTTTCAATAGAGGACTTAATCTTCCCATGTGAGGAAATGAAAGAAGACCTTATTGAACAGTTAATTTTTATCACAAACGTTGAGGAACTTAAGGGAAAAAAAAAAAAACAAAAACTGGTCAGAAAGGTGACTGTTGTCTACAGGGATGCTTTTCTTAAGATATGTTTCATGTGAGTTTCCATAACTGCACAAACAATTCCCTAGGCAGTGCTTCTTTTTCTGATAAGGAAACTTTATTGATGAAGTCATAAAAATGGGCTTTAAAATAAGCGAAATGCTGCTAGTTAATTTCTTCCTATTTTAAAAATAATCTTGTGTGCCAGAATCTCTAAGGGCATTCCTGCTTTTAAAAATGTGCTCTCAAGTTCTTCAGCTATCTTAAAGTGCTTGGAGTATTCTGTAACTTTTACTGCTGTACTGGAGAATATTTCCTCATGGAATCTGAAAGGAGAGGCACAAGCTCTTACACGTGGTATTTTGGGAACGTCCCTTTCGGTTATTTAAGCTGAACTTATTTTTTCAGATATTGCTGCTTTTCCAGATAGTGTCAACGTTTTAGAAGATATATCTGGAGATATCCGAACTCCAGACAAACTCATTGACGGCGTAAATAACACAACTGATGGCAGACATATGTGGCTTGCACCACTTCTTCCTGGTTTGGTACGTTTTCCCTTATCTCATTCTGCTGATGTGCACAGATATGGCTGGAAGTGTAACGGAAGGGGAAAGAATATATAACTTTGAGGTCAATTTGATATTAGTAAGCTATGCTGAACAACTGCTTGTCAGGAGGAGTTCTCTTTATTCTGCTTTCTCTTCACTGCACTGCACAGACCACAGCAGTATAGATATAGGTTTCCCAGCTTTGTAACTCCTTGTATCTCCATGGTGCAACTGGAGAAGGGTTTCTAGTGTGTGTTCAGTTACTGTGAAAGTATTACTGACAAAGGAGTTTAATCTGTGTTGTGCAATAAAGACCTGCCAAGTGGGAATGAACTGAGATTGCAAGTTAATTCTTACAAAAGCCAGTATGTTGGTTTTTTTTTTTACAGTAGAGTTTTTTAACCTATCTTGAATTTAAATTCATAAATTGGATGAGACTGCTTTGTGTTTTGTAAGCTACAAGTGATTGAGCCCTTCTAGAAGCAGCATGTTTTTAAAATAATGGGGACCAAATATCTAGACAGGAAAAGTAGATAAACTTAGATGAGTTTTGACTTCATTTCTGGGAGGACAATTTTTTCATGCTCTTGTTTTGGGTATCATTAAGATGCATTCATTTCCTAGAAGATTGGATTATGAAAGTGACAAAATGTAAGGCTGAGGTGTGATATTCTACAGCTTACTGTTGGAAAAACCCTTACTGCATATGTTACAGTTATTAATTAGACTACTAAAAACGAGGAAGTCAATTTTGAAAATAATTCATGTTGTAATGCATTGGGTATAGTTAAGATTAAAATTTTAATTATACTTAGGAGGACTGACCCTTTGCATTTTGTGAGGAAATGGAAGGTCTGTGTAATGCTTGAGATTCCTACAGCCCACATTCAAACATCTTGAGTCCTGCATGTTGGCTGGATGTGAAAATATCCATTGAAACATCGGGGATGGGTGATTTGATAGCTGAATTTGTTTGGCATATGTTAACATCTTCATGGAAACACTGTCAGAGAGGTTACTTCATTCTGATAAAAGGAAAATAATGCCTGATTCTAGCACGGTTCCGTGCATTGTTTTGTGTCAAATCTGACACCAAACTGTAGGTAAGATATTGGTATTAAAAGGGGAAGTGGATAGTATGTGAAATGTAGGAGGGATGAGGAAGCAATGGACCCTTCTGTCCTTAAACTGTAGCAAATGATACCTTTTCAAGATTCATATAATTCTGCCAACTTCCATGCTTTTGTTGCAAAGCCAGGCTGCTGAGAGACGTTCCAATTGCTTAGAAAGCTGTGTAAACTCTGCTACATTGGAAAATTTGAATGCTTTAAGAAAGTTGTTTATAATGGACTTTCTTTTCCTTTCTAATATTGAAGTATTTTTGTCTTTTGCAGATTTATTACTAATGGAAGCGTGGTTAGAGTTCTTTGTCACTCTGTCACTGATTGTCACTTTGTTTATTTGCTTGAATGGATTTTCCATCAAATTTTTCATTATTTGTGACACCAACAATTGTCACGAGACATCATAGTCCAGATTTTCTTCTGGGAAAGAAGAGAGATGCAAACAGTTCCGTTGATCACGTCTGCCTCTCTTTCCTCAGTGCAAAAAGTGAAATGAGCAATATCTCGAGCAATAGGCAAGCATCAGGAGAGTTGTCTGTGTGTACCTCACAAAGTTGCAGGTTTTGTGTTAGAGCTCTCTTAGGGGATATGGGAGGAATGTTAGCGTTGCAAATAAGGTGTATTCCATTCATGTGTCAGCTTTTCTTGTGCTGAAGCACATCCGTATTTTGTTGATGTAATACTCATTAAGGATATTGCTCTGCTCCTCCCCTAACTGATTAGCAGTCCAAGATGACAAGCTCAGATGCAAATATCCTCTTCTGATGACTTGTACGTACATTTGAGAGGACAACTGTGCAGAAGAGTAACATCTGTGAATTATCAGCAGAAATGATAGCTAAATTGAAACCCTTACCATCAGTTATCTGCCCTATAGCTCTATATCTTCAAACACAGACCAAATTGATGAAATGCGTTCAGATGCTTTTTTTCTTTGGGGGATTTATCCTCTAAAATATAAACGAATTCTCTTTTACAGGTGAATAGAGTATATGTTATTTTCGATGCACCTACCACTGTGTCAATGATCAAATTGTGGAATTATGCCAAAACACCCCAGAGGGGTGTGAAGGAATTTGGTGTAAGTAATTTTTGTATGCATTTTGTATCTTTTGCTGTACTTTTTCAGTTTTACCAAAATGTGATTTTTATATGATCTGAATGGATAGTATTCATCTCATTAGCCCTGCATTTAATGTTAGAATGCTTAACCTGTGCTAGTCACAGTCCTTTGTTTCTTGTCCAAGGAAAGAACAGTTTTTCAGATAATAGCCTTAACAGACTAATTCTTTCCTTTCTCCACTGGCTGTGGAGCAGGTCTGTAACACCAGTTCAAACTAAAAACCCAAGTTTTAGACAGCTGAAATGGGATGAGATTCACTAATTCCTAAATCTAAGAGTGATTTACTCCAATTGATAGAAGAGGAGTTACATAAAGCATGAAATACATTTTTAATTGCCTACTTGAAAACTTCTTTAGCAACACCAGTGAGAAGACAAAATGGGAGGAGAGAGATTGAAGCTTAGGGACAAAAGCTAAACTGAGGACTGGAGTTGTGGAACAATTGGTCCAAAGTGATTTCTAGTTAATTAACTGAAAGGACTGTTGAAAGCAGCACCTGATTCCTAGATTTTTTTCATTGTTAAGTTTCTTTATTATCTCTAGCTTTTGGTGGATGACTTGCTTGTGTACAATGGGATTCTGGATATGGTGAACCATGTAGTTTCAGGCATCCTACCCACCTGTGATCCAGTAGTTCCATATCACACCATTCTCTTTACGGATGATGAGAAGATTTGCCATCAGAAGAGAACTGTAATTAGGTATGTGAGTAGATCTTGTCTAAAAGTGTTGTTTTTGGAAAATGTTGTCATGTGGCTGATGTCAGGAATGCACATGTTGCTATGAAGAATTCCCTTCTAAAGCATGCTCAGTCTCACTTAATGGTAAATAACCAGTAGCTTTTTACATGCGGGGACAAAAGTACTGGCTTGATTTCTAACTACTTTTTAACACTTTCAGGATTATTGATTCACATTTGAATGTGTTTTCAAAAGATGATTTTCCTTGGAGAGGAATTGGTGAACTGCAATGAGATGACATGGGGAGGGGCAGAACCCAAAAATTTTTGAAGAAGCACCTGGTGTCAGAGGAAAGTCCTTTAAATGTCCTTTAAATGAAAAATGAGTTTGGTTCTCAGGGCTAACCCACTGAAGCCACCAAGTTGGCAACCTCACAGAAAACATGACGGAAATGGAGTGAAAAATATGTTCAGAAGATCAGGACTGATAGGATCTAAGAAACAGTCCATAGCACGGAGAATAAAGATTGAAAGACAAATGTATTTTAAATGAGATGGAAAAACTGAAAAACTGATGTCTTCTAGAAATAAGCACTTTTATACATTGCACAGTTAAAAATAGAATGTCTTAAATATGCATTACTTGAAAGAAAGGTGACAGTTTTGCATCCAAAAATGCAAAGCAATTACTTCAGAAACAATAGAAAATTTAAAAATAAGTGGAAGGAATGTAAGCTATCCTGACTCAAAATAGGAATTCACATTTGTTTGTAGGGATTTCCTGTGTTTTTCCAAAGCATTGGCTCTTGGCCACTGATACTGTCAGATGTTGAAATAGATTATTACTGTTCGAAAGAACTGTGTTAGGCTTACATTTTTTACAAGAAGCTGTGTTGTCATGGTGAAATTTGGAGGTAGATGGTTTTTGAACTGAAAAAGTTACTGGAATGAAAATGTGAGTTTTGAGAAATTCTTCAGGGGGATACAGAAAGGAGGAGAAATGAACATCTACTTTGTTCAGTCAAACATCTTTGTTCAAGGGAAGTTATTTTACTGGAAGCAGAGAAACTTCATCTGAAATTGTAGAGCTGTTTTTCATGCGACTTCCTTTGCATGTACTCGTGTAAAGCATAGGGGTGTTGGATTAGATTTGGGAGGTATCCTTCTTGGTCATACACACTGCAGCTTCTGTTTTCCAGTCAAAATTACACAGTCTTTTCTTCTAGAATTCCTGTACAGCAGTGTTCCTTGTCTTTGTCTTCTATTCCCTTCCTCTCTTATTCTAACCCTCTGAAGGACAGGGTTCTTTGGCAGTAGAAGACACATCTCTTACTATCTGCTGGAAGAACACCCCTACTTTTAAAAGATGTTCTTGAACTTGTGCAAGTTGGTACCTCTAACTTTGACCTATTGTCTTTCATGTATCGCCGTTCAGTATTTCATGAACCCTCTCATATTATCATCAGTGGTGTAAATACTGATTTACTTCAGTATTGGTTGCACTATGTCTGTTGGAGAGGCGTTCCATTTTTCTCCAATGGAAGCCTGTTGTGTGCAGCATTTGTAGAGAAAAGAAAAAGTTCAGACTGGTTTTTGTTTTCTCTGACTAGTATTTCTTTAACTTCCAATTCACCTCACAGCTTCTTCTGTAATGGGGTTAATTTAACTTTGAGGTTATTATTTCTTTATGAGAAAGAAATTATTAAAATTGTGGCCTGCAAACAAAGCTTGTCACAGTAAATGAATTTTGTTTAGTTCATAAATTTTTCATGAATAATTACTGTATCAACATTACAAAGTAGTGCAAAGTTCTTTGTAGGGCTTTTAGGCTCTTTGTACAGAGCTACTGTAAAATTTCACTTTGGGTAATGCGGTTCAAACTGTGTAGGCAGGCAAGGAAATTGTAGAGTGAATATGATGTTGATATTTGAACGTGTGCCTGCTGCAACCTACACCACTCATTAGACTGCTAAAAAATACTTCAGGTAGATGCAGAATGCCTTTCTTTTTTAGGTAGTCTCATATTATGTTCGTAACCTTAACATATAGAAACGTTACATAAGTCTATATATATATATTTCATAGAGGTGTGTGTAACCTCCTGAACTGAGTAACTTACTTGGTAACCTTTTTCTGTAACTCTTGAAACTTTTCAAAATGACTATTTTGGTTATTATACTGATTTTAATCTCTTCAGCAATCATGTGGAAGATCAGGATGTACGAATGATGAATGAAAACCAGATTGTCACCAACAGCAAAAAGAAACAGGCTGTGGCTGATCCAGGTTGGTTTTATCTCCTACAGTTTTCTTCTGTTCACGTTCCACAAAAGCAGTATGAATAGTAAACATTGTTATAGACCCAGCTGGGAAAAGAAGGGAGATTTGCACCTCTCTTCTAATTTAGTTCTTTCATAGGAAGGCAAACATGGCGTATCGTGCTCTGGATTTTTATTCTGTATCTAAATCTGAAAGTGGATCTTATAAATCAAAGATTTATGTGACATGTAATCGTAGCTCCTACCAACACATACAGAGAGGTCTTCAGGAAAGAAACTGGCTGAAGACCAATTGAAAACCAGTGTGATTGTACAGGTCCAAAGATAGCTTTTGGAGTAATAAGCTTGTTGCATCCCCACTGGCCTTTTAAGCAGCTTTAGAGATGGTGTGCCTCAGAATTACCTGTTTGTTGCTCCTCAAGCTAATCAAAAATCATGATATATGAAACTAGGATGAAAATCCCAGATGCCTGTCTCGTTGGTCTCTTCTCTCTTACAAGTGATAATTAAAAAGACAGCCTGTTTATTTTCTTTTTCCCAAGGAGAAATAATAGATTGTATTTATAGTCTGAAGTGTCCCAGTCATTCACTGTAAATTCCTCAGGATAGCTCCCTAAATACATTACATATTCTCAGCTAAGCTGGTACATTCATGATTGTTTTTCTTCCCCAAGCATGACAATTTCTCTAGCTCGTTTCTCTGGAAAGTGCTACAGAAATTATTTGATGGCTTTTAATAACACTTCTGTAGGAGAAGGATTTCAAATGCCATTACCTGTGCAAATATAGCTTGAGTATTAATACATTAGCACTAGCTGTGTCAAAAGTATCCTACACATCTCTGTGCCTGTTGTAATGACATCTTGAGTTGCAGTGCAGACATGCCCTGTATTTAGTGAAGAATGCTTTCTTGTGTCACTTAAAGATGGGTGAGCTCTCATTTCTTACTGTGAGGTTTTCAGCTGAGCATTCGTTGTTTTTTTGATATCTGCCCAGGGTCTCCTCCCAAATACTTACACTATCAGCTGCAGAGGCTGATAGAATGATTTGGGTTGGAGGGCGGACCTCAGGAGGTCTGTAGTCCAAACCCTAACCTGAGCAGAGTCGACTCTGAATTCAGACCAGATTTCCCAGTGAAGTGATTCCACAGAATTGTCTTCATGAGGGAAAAAAGTCTTTGTCCCTTTGAAGTCAGTCCATCTTCTTTATTGAAAGATGGAATTAATTATGCTATCTTTACTTTCACATTTTGCTTTTCTGCCTCCCCTTGTTGCCTCATCCTTTATTATCCATTTTCTTCTGTATCTGTACTGTTTTCTAAGCGTAATCCCAAACCTGTGATGATACACCTAGTCTCTGAAGCCAGATTGTTCATGTAAAATAATCAAAATGTCAAGGAAAGGATGGACTACAAGAAAGAGCAGGTGTCAGTGCTTTGTTCTGAAATGGCACAGCAGCCATTGGTACCCATGTGATCCAGTTCAGCTTCTGCCTTTTTTCTGAGCACCAAATTTGTGTATCTTGTGTAAAAACTCCTCTTTGTCCCTTGAGAGGTGGAGTAACAGATTATAGAGTTACTTCCTTGCACTGATTTACTTGTTCGCTGTCCCACAGTCTGGCACTCTGAAATCTTTTCTTCTACAAGGAAGTAGTTGGTATTGCTTGCTGTCAATGTAGGATATGGTACTGAGAAGTGTAACCTTCACTCTGGGATAGAAATAGAAATGAGAATGTTTCTTCCTCTTTTTAGTCTGTGACTTTGTTGATGTAGGAGCATTTTTAAAACAGCACTCAATTTTCCTTAACAGCTTTGCGTCCAAAAACCTGTCTGTGTGAAAAAGGACTGCAGAGGAGGAAAAGATAACAAGGGCTTGACTGCAAAGTCCTGAATACATCCAGCTCTGGACACTTGCATCTTGGAGAGCTAGATGACTTATCATCCAAATGGAATTTACTCCACACTTGTTGCTGAACCACCTCCTGTCTTATGAGAGGAAGTTGCCTTTGCTACAGGAAAACTTCCTTCAGTAATGAAATTTAAAGCATGAGTTATTTAGTTTTCTGGTTCTTTTATTGTCATAATCTGCGATGACAGATCAGAAAGTGGGTTTATTGAGGTTTAATGAGTAAGCTTCAGCTTTCACTTACCTTTTTTTTTTTTTTTTTCCAGTGAAAAAATGTTTTCTTCTATTATTTCACTACCATGTAAAAGCAAAAAAAAAAAAAAAAAAAGCATTAGCACTGTGCACATCCCTCAGATCTTCCTGCTGCCCTCCACTACAGCCTGCATTGGGATCTGCGAACAAGGAGGCCGTCCCTCTGGGCTGCACCAACCAGCTCTGCTGCCAGCGATGGGCCATCCCTTTTGAGAAGTGGTAAAGGCATTTTAATGAGCAGATGGTAAGGAGTGAATGGCATTTTTAAAACACTGAGTACCCTGAATGCCTGGCCGTTTAACCAGGAATTCTAACCAAATAATTGTGCTGCGGGATTTGTAGCTATGCAAATGTGCTTTTCAATGAATATTTGTCAGTGGTGACAACCTGTAAATCTCTTACAAGATCTAATAGAACATTCTTCCTTTCTCATTTAGAACTTACTGTTTTCAAAAAGAACTGAAAGTTCTGAAATGCTTTTATGTGTGAAACAAAGATGCATAGTATTGCAGCTCCTGATGTGGATTCAAAATGTGCTGCTTTACTCGCCATAAAGCCAGGAGCTGCAGTAGTTTGTGTGTTTGTTTACAAAATACTTGGCTGTTGTTGGCTGAGCTGTAAAGACCCAAGATAGCAATACCTTTCCTGGATTTCTCTGTTGATGGGGCAACAAAATGTATTTTGTACTAAATGCAAAACACTTCTGTATGTAAAATAGATGCTTATTTGTTTATAACGTAAATAGAATTTGTTATGGAACTTAATTATTGGTATTGTTACTAACATGACAAGTGCTCATGCTAAAAAATAAAAGCATATGAATAAAAGACATTTTCACAAAGCTTGCTTAAGAGCTTTGCTTCCTGTAAATAGCTGGATGTAAGTGCCTGTTGGCCTCTGTGTGGCGTTTGTACTAGTTACTGAACTTGTGGACTCTTCTAATAGTGGTGCTTCCTTCCCCATAATTGCTACAGTATGAAAAGAGGGTGAAGTTCTTTGAAACATTTCGAAAAAATGAAGCTGTGGAATGTTCTCCTCTGCAGTACATCAGGCTGAAAGGGGGTTTGCTCTGGGATGATGTATGGCACTAAGGCAAGGCCTGATGAGGTCCTTGATCCTGGGCAGTCGTGTGTAGAAAATAGTGTAATGTTTAAAAAGTACTTCATTCATCTCTATAGCGTAGGAGATATCAGCATTTGCTCTCTTGATGAGTTGAGATGTGATGACCCTTTATGTAACAAAGGTATTTTAGTGTCCTAATCAGTCCTATGTATTTCAGCTGCTAGAATCGTTTCCATAGTGAACTGGGGAAAAATAATGATCGTTTTTCACTTACTTTAACTTGCTACAGGTACATTTTTGTCAGAGAAGCATCTAAAGAGGGAAAGGAAAAGCAAGCATGCAATTAAGAAAATTCTCACAAAGTATGTTAGCTAGTGTCAAGTCATGTCAGAATTGCAGCAGAAGAAATTCTCAAGCAGTGGTAACACTGCTTCCCAAATTATCTAAAGCATGACAAAGGAAGCAGAACAGTTAATGTGAACTTTGATTGAGTTCTGGAATAGGAATTATTAAACTTCAGCCCAGATCAATTTCAGGGCCACTCAAACCTCTGAGCCATAGTTGCTGACCTTTTACCTGCTTACCTGCTTTCCAGGGGTTAGATCAAAATGATGAGTTTGTCCCACAAGGGCAGAAGATAAAGGAATAATCTGTGAGGAAATAAATGTCATGCTGCATCATTTTTGATCTTTAAAAAAGTATTTTAATCAGTCTGAAATGAAATCTGAAGCCAAGGATGCCTTGGAAGGCTTGCAATTTCAGTTTTTCAATTTCTGCCTTTCTTTTTATGGTGTAATCCAGTAGAATTTAATTTCTGCTGCTGAGAAGCACCCATCTGTGAGCAGGGGAGCAAGCAGTGAAGCAGACAATGTAAGAGACGTGTGATACGTGGATGCTCCAGTACTACTAAGGCAGAAGGGTCATCCTCATCTTGGAGGATGAAACCAGAGGAGCTCCATGAGAAGCTGGTCGTGAAATTACACTGCCACATTCTGCTGAGTTGGTGCTGTTTTCTGCAAAATTTCCTGATCCTGCAGAGATTTTGCCAGGTCCTGGTATGTTAGTGAGTCTGAAAACCAGCACCGGTGTGGGCAGGCTCTGATGTGTCTCCTTCAAAGAGAAGAGAAGGAAGCAGTGGGGAATGGAACATACTGCAGGAGTGTTTGCTTCCATTTGAATGCTGTGGTCTTTGTATTCAGATCAAAAGAAGAAGGGCTCCTGGCTCAGTGGTCTCTTCACCCATTTCTGTGACTGTTTGCTTGTTTGCTGAGAAATGACTTACAGCCCATGTGAGACACAAACATCCCTTTATCACGCAGCTTGTATCACCCTAATGGAATTCTGTCAGCTGAGGATAAAATGTGGACTAAAAAAGCAATTATAGAGTGAATCTCCTAGCTGCAGGAAGAGCTGAGAGATGGGGACAGAGTGCCCATCTGGAGTAATTTCCTGTCTGACTGGCCTCTAAATCTTGCTGGGAAGAGATCAATTTTCCACCCCTGTCTAACAGCATCAGCTCCATTCACCCTGGCTCAGGACCCTAGGAAGTGCTGCACTGTTCAGACCCAGGCATAAAAGGAAACATTTGCAAACTGCAACTTCCTTCTTACTGACCTAGAAATTACTGGAAAAGAGAGGAAAAAAGGCTACAAGCCTTGTATCTGATGGGACTCTAGTGATCTGTTTCATAGCTCCCAGTTGAAGGAGAGGACTGACTATGCCAATGACGAGCAGCACAGAAGGACTACTGCTTCCAGCAGTGCTTGGTTCTGCACTTAGAGCTCACTGCTCTGACTGATTAGGAGAAAAACGACCTAATGATCTGCTAGCAGCTTTCTCCAGGTATGCTGGTGGTTATTTTTTCCTGGAAAGTCCAAATTGTTCACCGAAGTTTTTCTTTTAGGTTGTGACTCCTTCAAAGTCTGTTTGGTGTGGCTAAAATCAGTTTGGCTGTTTATTACTTCACTGGATTTATTAAAAATATTAGCATGTGTAGATTTTGTGTAGCTTTCCAAAGAGAAGAGAGATTCTGGGAGAGACACAGATACCATTCTTTTTCTGCATTTTCCTCTTGCTCATACCTGAACTGTTGTTTCAGAGTATCCCTCAGCTCACCTTGTTCTAACTGGAAAAAGCATTTCCCAATATTTTTGTGAAAGTGCAGCATGATGGACCAGGCGTGTTCAGGAGGTGAGTGTCAGAATGCTTAAGAAACTCAGAAATAGCCAAGTCAGTCTTCTCATCAAAGAAGCCAGAATTCCGGCTCTGGAAGAGGCAGTTTGTGCAGTGCTAAACAGAAATGCTTTATTTCAGGTTTTATATCCAGCCACTGTGTAAGAAGAGGGAAGAGGCTGTGGCTCAGCTGCTGCCACCTGAGAGCATGAACCCTACTGCGTATTAGAGGCTGAACAGATCTCCAAGTTGTAGAGAAGGCTCACATAGGAAGGATGAGTGGTGGGCATAAGAATAGGGGAAAACAGAAGATGTCCTGGATGTGACTCTTTATCCAAGATGAGCATTACATCTGGGAGAAGAGATGATCCCTGCTGTAAAGGTAACAAACTGAGAGCAGCTGAGCCCCTTCATGTTTTTCACTAAGATTTCTCTGCCTGATAGCAGTGTCAGGGGCAGCCAGGACAGACGTTGTTGTCTGTTACTGAGGGAAGAACTTTCATCTTGAGGAAGAAGAGTGTTCAAAGAGGACAGGGGCTGAGGCAGCACCAGTACAGTTTTACAGAGGGTTGGCAGGAGTCAGCCAGCATGCTGAGCTGAGATCAGACACTGACTGCCATCCCTTCTTGCAAGTGTGGATTAGCAAGCGTAGTGCCTGTTATTCATGGCTCTGTGCTCCTATTCATCACTAATGTTTTGGGCTTCTTTCTGCAATTGCACAATTTTAAACCTTACAACAGGCAGTTGATTCCATTCTTTTGAAATCGTTAATGTTAGTTATCTTTGCCAGGCTGGACCTTACAGGGCTTTCAAGATGTTTGTCAACACTGTGTAGGAAGGAGTGTAATGTGGCAGTCTGAAAACGGACGGGCAGAGAGATGGGTTGTTCGTTCTCTCCTTCAATGCAGAGTAGGAATCAGGTCTGGAACATGGAAGAGTTGGGTCTTTATGTAGCAGATGGCTGGGGATGCTTTTACCAACAGATGCTCACTGTTGCTAAAAGTTAACAGCTTCATGGGGACACCCAACAAACAAAAATCTACCAGAATCACTAATGCATAATAGGTGCTGTCTTAGTTCCTGAGTTTAAAAATGTTTGAATGTAGGAAGATCCTTAGTTAAAAATACACGTGCTGCTTAATTCTTGTGTTTTCTTCTAACCATCTGCCTTAGAGACATGATTCTGGGCAAGGTGGAATCTGTCTGACCCAGTGTAGCATGTTCTTACCATCAAGGTGCTGTGTAGGAGTTGCTGTGTGTGTTCCAGGGGAAAGCTCTTGGTGAAGGAACACAGAGCTGTGCTTTGCACTTAGAGCAGCAAAGCGTGCTCCTGGAAAAACTGATCCTGTGATGCTGCTCCAGGTTTGACCAGTGTTCAGGGATCACAGGAGCACAGACTGAGCTGTAGGGTGCTCTTGCAGTGCTTCAGTGATATGCATGCCTCTTCTTTGAATCTTCTGTTTTGATTTATTGACTTCAAAACTGAACGTGATCTCTTGTGGGCACTACTGCCATGTAGTGAGAGGTGGAACTGTTCTCCTAGCTGAGTTTCCCATTTATGCATTGAAGGCTGAAACAAGACAACAGTCTGCAGGACCACTTAGCCAGCTGCCCTTATTCAGGCTTTTTCAGAACCATTCCAGTTCCAAGCTATAGGCCTCTGTTTCCATCCTGCATCTTAGACTATTACAATCGTTGTCTATATGCAGTCATACTGACGTGCTGTTTGTTGGTGAAAGCTCTCTGTGTAAGTAGTGTAGGCAGAATCTCATCTCTGTGGGAGTCACAAATGCATATACATCATTAAATTTGCTATGTATTAAGTTTTAATCCAGCTGATATGGGTCATGTGGAATGTAAGTCCTTTCATCTGGTTGCGTAGTAGCAACAGTATTTGTTACCAAAATATTTTTGAGATTTTTTTTTTTGAGGATGTAAGGAATTTGCACACACAAAAAGATATTCAAAAAAGGTGAATTCATTCAACACTTACATTCCTAAAAAAAATACACATGGTCTTGAACATGGGCACAGGACCCAGCCTTTTAGAAAAGCAATGCAGAGCTGAAGTCAGATGTGACAGTGTCACAAAATCAGAGTAATTGGGGCTGGGAGGGACCTTCAAATGTCTGCAGTCCAATCTACTGCTCAAAGCTGGGACAGCTGGGAGGTCAGATGGGTCACACGGGGCTGCATCCCATTCAGCCCTAAAAGCTTCTAGGAATGGAGACTGCACAGCCTCTCTGGGCAGCCTGCTTTAATACTTGGCTATGAATAGCATGCTTTTTTTTCCCGTGACACATGGTAATTTATACTTTCTCCCACTGATTAAAGGCCTTGGTCAGCATGGATAAGACATCTGGCACCGCAGAAAGGTCATCTCTTCTGTCATCATCTAGCTGTACAATAATAAATTCGGTCTCCCAATGATAATTTTAGATTTGCAAATTACCAGAAGTCTTATGATCTATCTCTCTCGTGCTCTACTGGAGTTGCTGCTAAAAAGAAAGCAAGCAGCAAAGCTCCCTGAAATGTTTTAAGCCTAAACAGTGGTAAAATCTTATCTGCAATGAATGTCACTTCTGGCTTGTTTCCAAAATAGCATTT